ATGTAAAAATTATACACTGCTCAGCATATTCACATATGTTTTTGTGTGTACACACACATACACACAATACACACAGTACACATACAAACATTTATATATACATACACACAAACACACTATCTTTTATTAAAAGAAGAAAGTAAAGAAAAGAACATAATGAGTTGTTATGAAAAGGAAGCTGAATTAGGAAAAAAGAAAAAACACTAGAGATGAACTGAAGGATGAAATAGGAAGACAGGACATTTGCGCTGGGCTCATCAAGCATAAAACCATGGATGCTTACTCCACACAAATTCCTATTGAGTGTAATGGTTTCTTTTTCCAGGTAAGTACGCATACCTTGCTGCTATATTTAGAATGGAATTGCTTAGGCTAGCTTATTCGATGTGATAACAGTGGAAGAAATCTTTGATGTATAGGAGAAAGAGCTCTTCCTAGTTTTCAATACATATATTTTTGTTGAGCTGCAAAGGACAGTGGTTCTCAATCTGTGGTCTGTGGACCCCTGAGGAGCCATGATGTTTTCACGGGGGGAGGGGTCTGCAAAGGTCTGAATAAATGTTATGGTTTAAATCTTGAGTTAAGTCTTGATGGTCAGTGGCCATGGTCCATGGCCACAAAAGGTATTTAAAGGAGATCCATGGTGAAGAAAAGGTTGAGAACCATTACTTAGAAGATGCATAGGCATATCTGCCATTGAGCAGAAGAGGGGCAGAAGCCAGTGCCATTGTATCTACCTGAGAACAAGGACACAAATGTGCAGATTCCAGCCGCTTGTTTATGTGCAGCTTAACTAACTCCATCCCTCATTTGCACGGCACTCTTACATCTAAAAACGTTTGGCTCTAGTTTGCAAATATTATTAGGAATAAAATCTTGGCTCTTTACAGGAATCAAGATACTTACGATTACTAAAATAAAGAACAGAAATCAAATATTTATATATTGCTACTAATCCTCTCCACTTATGTCTTATGGCAAACACAAAGAGAAGAAAGATGCTAATCGGAAAGGTATCTTGGCATTTATTGTAAGCTAGCCAAAGGGAAGGAAGTAGCAATTGGGACAGGCAATTCTGTAATTAAGCAACATGGTTATAAAGTGAAACATCAAATGACTTGTCTTAAGGCATCAGTTCCAGTTGCGGTTGTTAAATAGTTCACTGCAGTTCTTACGTGCAATGTCACAGGACCACGATTTCCAACTTCCTGCCAGCATCCCTCTTGACTGTGTTTGTTGACTGTGAAGGTCACAAATGTTAGTCACAAGATGTCTATGGAGATTCTCAATTATTCAGGTCATAGTTGTCCCAAAGATGCTTTTTCATGAGGCAACTGGACTTTCTTGTTTTTCTTTGAAGACGTTTCATTTCTCATCCAAGAATCTTCTTCAGTTCTGACTGGATGGTGAGGAATGGAATTCCTTCCATTCCCCACCATCCAGTCAGAGCTGAAGAAGCTTCTTGGATGAGAAGTGAAATATCTTCCAAAAAAAAACAAGAAAGTCCAGTTGCCTCATAAAAAAGCATCTTTGGGTGAGCACAAGATGTTGTGATTATTGTAAATGCATGCCTGTTGCCAAACACCCAAATCATGATGCAATGACCGCAGAGATACTGCAAGAGCCACAAGCTTAAAGACCAGCCTTTTTAGTGCGACTTTTACTGTGACTTCGAATGATCACTGAATGAGCAGTCAGTAATAAGGACTACCTGTAAATAGCTTGGAGAAATACAACTTCTTGCAGCCTATTTCTTATCCACTGGAAAAATTTATGGCTATGTAGGAATTATCCTTATTTCATGGACCAGAGGTGAGGAAAGTGCATCACAACTTCTTGGAAATATACAAAAATTAATTTTCATTTAGACAAAATAGCAGTCGAGGTATGAGCCATCCAGTGAATTCCATGAATTCAAATAGCTCAAAAGCCATGAACACAGATCAAAGGTACATTTGAGTTCATAATGCTATTTGCAATAAACTGATTATACAAACTTGAGCAGGAATGTATATTGAAACCTGCAGCAACTGTGGATTTTGCTAGAACAATGCAAAGTTTCCATGCTTGTAAGACCCACCTCACTGATTTCAGTTATTCCTCACAGAAGAAATAATGCATGAACAGATCACTAGATCACTAGAATCTTTTGTTTGCAAAGTCATTATGACTATTTGAGACCAGCAAGCAGGTATTGAAACACCAAAGTATATTATGAACTCTGTCAGTTAAAGAAAGTTAAAGAGTTTGGTATTTGTATACCATTCCAGTGTTGTGGTTTTTGCTTTATTTTGTAGTGACAGTTTTTATATATGTTTAGAACCTATATAGAACAGAACAGAATGGAACAGAATAACAAAGTTGGAAGGGACCTTGAAGGTCTTCTAGTCCAACCCCCTGCTTAGGCAGGAATTCCTATAACTTTCAGACAAATTGTTGTCCAATCTCTTCTTAAAAACTTCCAGTGTTGGAGCATTCACAACTTTTGGAGGCAAGTTGTTCCACTTATTAATTGCTGTCACTGTCAGGAAATTTCTTAGTTCTAGGTTGCTTCTCTCCTTGATTAGTTTCCATCCATTGTTTCTTGACCTGCCCTCAGGTGTTCTGGAGAATAGCTTGACTCCCTCTTCTTTGCGGCAACCCCTGAGATATTGGAACACTGCTATCATGTCACCCCTCGTTCTTCTTTTCATTAAACCTGACATACCCAATTCCAGCAACCGTTCTTTATATGTTTTAGCCTCCAGTCCCCTGATCATCTTTGTTGCTCTTCTCTGTACTCTTTCTAGATTCTCAACATCTTTTTAACATCATAGTGACCAATACTGGATGCAGTATTCCAAGTGTGGCCCTACCAAGGCATTATAAAGTGGTATTAACACTTCATGTGATCTTGATTCTATCCCTCTGTTAATGCAGCCTACAACTGTGTTGGTTTTTTTTAGCAACTGCAGCACACTGCTGACTCATATTTAAATGATTGTCCACTAAGACTCCAAGATCCCTCTCACAGTTACTACTATTGAGCAAGTACTACTTATACTATACTGTACATTTGATTTTTCTTGCCTAAATGTAGAACCTTACTTTTTTCACCACTGAATTCACCACATCTGCCAGTTCCTTCCATCTGGTCCTAGTGATTTGAACTTGTCTAGGGTGGACAGGTACCCACTTACCATTTTCTTGCCTATTTTAACTTGTGTTTCTAATCTGTTTTTTATGGTACTGTTTTTGATAGGTTGGTCTGTTTTTTCCCTTTGTGTAAAGACAGATGCAAAAAATGAGTTAAGTAGTTCTGTTTTCTCCCTGTTGCTTGTCACCTTCTTTCCACTTTCTCCCACTAATGGACCAATCGTTTCCTTGACTTTTTCCTTGTTTTTTATATGTTGAAAGAAGGGTTTTTTTTGTTATTTTTTACTTTTGTTTCAAGCCTTAGTACATTTTGAGCCTTAGCTTTCCTCACTTCATTTTTGCATCTTTTGTTTTTCAATTTATCAGAGAGTTCTTTATGCAGCCATACTGGTTTCTTTTGAGAGCAGTTATTTTTCTTCTTCACTGGTATTGTGCTAGACTGGGCTTTTATAATCTCACTTTTCAAAATTTCTCAAACTTCTCGAGTTGTTTTCTCCTTGAGGATTCTCATCCTCAAAAGGTAGACTAAAAGAAATCTGAAGTGAATTGACATTTTTATAATGATTAAATACATTTGATGATCTATGGAAAATAACTAAGATACACTTCTCACAAGACGTATTATTACCTATATACTATGTTATTGTTAATGTCATTGTTAATATGAAAAAATTAAGAATTTATTTTAAAAAGCAGCATCATACTGAAGAAAAAAAATCTAAGATAAGTACTGCATTGTGAAGTAATTTACATTTATTTCACTGATTCACTTTAAAAAGCTATTTAGCACCACCAAATGGCTCAGCAGATATATTGTTAATTTAAGTCCATTTTGCTGTTCCACATGAACTGTTAATGTACATATTAAAACTTACGTTTACCTATACACATCATCAAGAACCCTGCTGTTCTTGAATGAAATTAAACAAATAATTGTTACCAGAAAGTTGTTTAAAGAAACACTGTGATTTGACAAAACATGCTACAGATTACATAAAACTGAAATAGAGAATTTCAAATAGTAAGGCTGTGGAAAGGCCACTGAATAATTTTATAATTGAACCATTAGCTTCTAAGTAGCCAGCTCTGCCTTGTGTGAGTCTGGTGAACTGCCCAACTCATTTGAATTCTGAAGAATGAATTAAAACAAGGAATCCCTCCCTTCTCACCACCTATATAGTACAAGAAAAACAGATACCTAACTCCACCCATAACTTCTTTGTGTTTTTAAATCAGGGTGGAATAAAATCTGCAAAAAGATTATCTATCAGGAGAGAGGAAGTATATGAAATGTTGTTGAAAGCATTGCATGGATTTTGAAGTTACTGCAGCAACAGCTTGTCAGACATCTTCTGCAGCATTCTCAAAGTCCCCCATCCACCCATTACCCTTTGCCAAATGACTTGACTCCACTTCTTGCACCCACCATCTTCTTAATCTCTTTGGAAACTATTTGTAATAGGGTAATAGAGAAAATAAGGGAGGAGGGCAAAGTACAAGCAAGTATAATTAATTAGTGCATGCTGGGGAAGACAGCAGGGACAGAATACAGGGAGCTGACTATTTTGTAAGGTACTATACCAGTGGTTCTCAACCTTTCTAATGCCGTGACCCCATAATACAGTTCCCCATGTTGTGGTGACCCCCAACCACTTATACATCACCGGGTGCCAGGGGCGTGGCCAAAGAAAAGGGGAAAAAAATGGCGGACAGCCTTGTTTGGCGACCCCCGTGAAATGGTCGTTTGACCCCAAATGGGGTCCCGACCCACAGGTTGAGAACCACTGTACTATACAATGCCTGCAATAGACCAAACCAAACCATGCACTTTTTTAGAGCATCTCAAATAATTCAATTCATCCTACCTGAATGCTTCAACAATGATCCTTTCTGATAACTTTGGCGCAACAATACTGAAAGCTTTTTTGAAATCTTCAAAAGATAAAAACCCTTTACCTTGTTGAAAAATAAAACAGAAAAGGGGATACAGCTTGAAAGATTCTTATACTTAGATGTACATTCACAAGCCAAGATTGAAAACTGAAATTGTTAATCCACAGAAATGAAGAGCTTCACAATGTTTTGGAAAAGATAATGTAAGCTTGTGCCTTTTAATAAAACGTGTTAATCAAGAAAAGGTGCTCTCACAGTCCTTCTGATTTTACATTTTAATTGGATAATATTATTTCTAACCTTGGTAAACTCGGAAGCATCTGGTTCATTAACTAAAGGCAAATGTAGAGTTCAAAAAATCAAACTGGGGAGAATGATGTCCAATCTGTCCACAAGATAGTACAACTAGTCCTTGCTAAAAGGTGGCAATTGTGGCTAAGCACTGTGGTTGTAAAGTCATGCCAACATAACAACAGTTGCAGTAGTCTCAGTAGCTATTGTTAGGTGAATCCCGCGCAATCACAGTATCACCATTTGCGATCTCTTACCATTTTCTCCATTGACTGTACTTGTCAGAAGGCAGTGAAAGTTGCAAATGATGATCTTGGGACTGTGGTATGCTGTGATGTTATAATTGCAAACCACTTACCCAGTGCCCAAATCAGAATCAGGTGACCAAGGGGATGTTGTGACTGTCGCAAATACAAGGACCTGTCATAAATCGCCCTTGTTCCATGCATTGTAACTCTGAATGAATTACCTGTTAGGTGCTTCAAATCCCACCCAAACAAGTCCAGAATTAAATTTGCCTTAAATAATTGCCCTATAATGATATTGATGACAGGAAGAGAAAGATTTTTATCCTGCCCCAAGCTGGCCAGAAAAAAGGATATAATTAAAATATAATAACAAAACATTTTATCAATAAAATATTCAAATAAAGTTATTCCACACTAGGGGAAAACTTACATTGTCTGTCAAAAGACATGAATATCCGTCTTATTTCACTATGGTAAAAGTGTGCAACTTTCTTTGTAGTCATAAGATTTAAAAAATCTTCAAGTGATAATCCTAAAAAAAATAGGATTAGTCATTTAGTCAATAGAAGTAAATAATTATTCTTCCAACAAATAAAATTCAAGCATGACAGTACAGTCTATGTAATCTTCTACATGAGTTTTTTACTTTATTTATTTATTCAGTTTATTTGCTGCCTATCTTGCAGTCCAGGCGACTCTGAAGTTCATTGCAACTTATTCCCAATTGTGTATACAGGATTAATGCATCACAGGGTTTATAAATATAAATATATATGTATATAAATTTAGATAAACTAAGTACTACTATATTGACCATGTGTAGCTTTTTCAAAATAAGTTTCAAATATTTGCTAGAGAATATCATTTATCAGACACCTATGTATAATAGCAATGCAAACTAACTTTATTACAAAATATGCAAGTATATAATGAATATTAATTTAAACTAAAATGTTCTTATAAAAATTAATAGACTACTCATGACTACATTGTAGCAAGGTTTCTGATCAAATCAAAATTAGTAATTACAATTAACCATAAAGAAGAAAAATGATTCCTTTTTCTGATGATAAGAACATATGACTCCAAGTTGTTACTACAAGTTCTCACTTCCCTTCTAGATAACTTAAGTGCCCTCTGGTATATGTTAGAAGAAAAATGGGACACAAAAATCCTGTAATAATCTGAAAGTGAAAGTTAGTAAGAATGTTTAATTAAAAAATAAAATATAAAAATTAGCTTTAACTGAATAAAATGTGGGTTAGTGGACATTTTAATAAAATCAGTATAAAAATACAAAGTCACAAATATATTTTGCAGCACCCAAGAAATATGAACTGAATTGTTAACCATCTATCCATCTGAAAATCCTGAACCAAACCCATTTGTTTTGTTTCCATATTATATTATTTCGGCCAATTAGAACCATCACATATTATTATTTCACTGAACTGTAAGCAATGTTACTCCCACAATTAATTTACAGAAATGTCATATTTACAAATAGGTTTCCAGTTTCCAGGTTTTACAATGGATATTCACTTCTATCTTTCCAGTTCGCTCAGGACACTGGGAAATAATCTTGAGCAGATCTGGGAAATACAGCGGGAGCATAAAGAAAAGAATTCTTGATGCTAAACCATATTAGGTTTGGCTCATATTCTGAAGCAATAATTGCACTACGTATATGCAATTTCCCCATCTTCCATATTTTTAATGTAAACTATCACAACTAAAAATAATCAAAATGAATATTTGCAAGTTGATGTCCAAAATATCTCTAATATTTAACAAAATAACTACATCAACTTTTCAAACCCTGTAGTTTTTGATTAAGCTCTTATCATCAGTGCATAATAATAGATTTTCATGCTTATATAATACCAAATGGATTTTGTTTCGTAGAGGCCATAGCTGAATCCGCTTCCATCTAAAATAGAAAAAAAGTATTATGAACAAAAGATCCCTTAAATGCTCACACATAAACTAATTCTTCAGATTAGGATAAATACATAATTATCTAATTAATTTTTTTATTCCATTTTATTTTTGATCTACTTCTTGTTTTCCCCATAATCATCCTGTGCGAACTCAACATTAAGAGCAAGATCAATCAATGTTTATAAACCTTAACCTCTCATAGATTCTAACTGAAAAGTCAAACACTTAAATTTATAAAACCAAAATTAATAAAATTTGAAAATACTTAATTGGGTAGTAACACTGGTAACAATATCTCCAGTAACTTATGCTAAAGAATAGATTAAGAGAATCAATATCAAAATTAAAATTGCTTTTCTCAAGACGTAATCTGGTAACTTTACAATTAAAATGAAAACTTCAAGACTTTTCTAGGCTCAATGCATCCACTGAAATGAAGTGAACCTAAGATTGCTTTGACCAAATAAATGCCAATTCAACATATTAAATCAAGTTGTTTTAATTGCATTTGTTAAATGTGGGTTAAAAAATCGGGTGTTAATGTTTGGATTAGCATAATATGCTAAACCAGTTGTTCTCAATCTTTTCTTCATCACAGACCCCCTTTAAATATCTTTTGGGCATGGCCACAGACCACCAAGACTTAACTCAAGATTTAAATCATAACATTTCTCCAAGCTTCTGCAGATATCCTGTGATGACATTGCAGCCCCCACTGTGCTAAACCAAAAACAACATAAGAATCAAACTACATTAATTCACATATAATCTATCATTCAAATTCCTCATGCAGTACTAGCAACATTACTAAATGTCACTGAACATGATTTATAATTTTGCTGGCAATCGATTTGCTATTACATCAACAGTATACAATAGCTTATATTTTTCCTCTGGGTTCTATTACTAAGGTAGAACCTATGAGATGTGCCTTCTCTGTTGCTGCTCCTGTCCTCTGGAACAACAATTTTGGATTTGTCTGGCCCCAACCTGCTGATCTTTCAAAAGACATTAAAGACTTTTTTTCCCTAAATAATTGGATCTGTGGGTGATATGACCTGCTGGATGACATTTCCTTTATGCCTATCTACTTCTCTGTTGTGTTTTTGTTTTATTATGTGTATTGCTGAGTTATTATTGTTCAATAATGAAGTATGCTGACATGAGATGACTGCCTGGGCAATATGGGTGGCTATATAAATCAAATAAATAACTCAAAAGTGGCAGTGGGAAATCAGACTGTACAGTAGAACAACATAGGCTCAGGAATGGCAAAACATAGTTCCATGTTTAAGGTGAATTAAAACAATACAAATATTAAATAAATAAATATTAAATGAAAATTAAAACCAATTTTGTCAAGTTCAGCATTCTCTTCTAGCATCATTTTTGATACAAATGAAAACTCTACTTGCTACTCCTATTTTTATTGGATTAATTATCATTAAGTGAAGATCTGATTTGTTCAGATCTGTTACACCAGAAGCTTTTGGCATTACCTCCTCAGAATTCTGATCCACCTTACATTAGTCCCAAACCACAGTGCTTCTCACTGATTTTTTTTTTAATCTGGGAGTGATTTCTGCTTTTTTTTTTCCTCCATGAGTTGCGCTTTCAATCTCAATAGTCCTCCAAACCAGCTCTCAGCTCATGAATGACACAATACTAGGATTCAGTTGGAAATCCCAATATTAGTATTTAATCAGCTTTTTCTAGTCAATGTAATTGAAAATAACCTAGCTTGAGATTGGATTTTCAGTCCAGTAAAAGACAAATGCTTATACAATATTCTAAGACATTTCCCCATTGGCTGAAACCATCAGATGTTCAGTCTTTTAAATTTATATACAGGACTGAGTACAAATCACACAGCAAGAACATTCTTCTCTTAGCACAATTTGTCTCATGACAACTGATATTTGCACTCAATACTATAACATTTGTCAGCATAACTATCTTTTCATTTAACACAGAAGGAAAAATCCTGTACACTTATAGTGACAGCAGTGGAATAAAAACCAAACAAAACTGAATTTACCATGGATGATATTGCAGTAAAGCTAAATGGCATTTTAAAGTACAGAAGCAGTCTGTCTGTGGAGGTTCTAAGTCATCCAGGTCATAGTTGTCTCAAAGGTGCTTTTTCAAAAGGCAACTGGACTGTTTTTTCTTAAGGAAGGAAGAAGACGTTTTGTTTCTCATCCAAGAAGCTTCATCAGTTGTCCTTTTCTTTCTCGAGAAAAACAGTCCAATTGAAAAAAGTACCTTTGATACAGAAGCAATCCTTTTCATCTATAAACCAGATTGCTTCCATCATCTTTGAGAGGCAGGAAAGTGCCTCTTTACTATTTGAGGTGCTATATACAGTTTGTGTTCTCTTCCTACTAAAAAATTTATAACAAGGGTTACTCTGGGTACACCTACTGAATTCTACTACCATGCTTCTCCCAAAATAAGACCCGGTCTTATACTTTTTTGCCTCCAAAAGAGGCACCAGGTCTTATTTCCGAGGGATATCTTACACGCTTACCTTAGGACCGCTGCAGCCAGGCCTTCCATGCCCTGACACCTATCGTGCTGCTGCTTGAGTTCTTCTGTGGCCACTTGTGGCGCACCATGCTGCTACTGCCGCTTGCCGATTGTGTCGTTGTCGCCACTTGCAGGACGCCGTGTGGCTTGTCATGCCAATCGCACCACTGCTACTGCAAGCAGCAGGAGGCCACGTGGCACATCATGCCAATCACATCTGTGCTGCTGCAAGTGGCAGGAGGCCACAAGGCTCGTCGCACCAATCATGAGTGTGCGATCGGCACAATGCACCACATGGCCTCCTGCCGCGATCAGCAGCAGTGGCACGATTGGCACAACGAACCTTGTGGCCTCTGGCTGCGAGCAGTGGCAGTGGCATGATCAGCGTAATGCGCCTCGTGTCGAGGCGTGGGAGGATTGGCTCCAGTGGTCCTAAGGTAAGTGGGTGCAGGGCACATGGGGCAGCTCCATCCCCCCATCCCCGCCCTAGCTTGATTTTTAGGCGTGTGCCTCGCCCCAAAACTAGGGCTTATTTTTGGCTAGGGCTTATATTGGGCACACGTGTAAAAATCAAGCTAGGGCTTATTTTCGGGATAGGGCTTATTTTCGGGGGAACACAGTAGCTTTGGGAGGCTGAAGCTTAGAACAAGGGGCATTGAGAAGCTTATCTGCAATATCTGAAAAAGATAGCAAGAACCAAGTCTTTTAAATTTTTAAATAATTCTGAAAAAATGTTCTTTGAAAACTTCATATTAATAGAGATTATTTAATGTCTAGTGTTCAGGATATTGAAAGAATAAGCCAGTCCTCAATATAAGAAATAAATGGTACCTTTGAGGGCTTATAGCCAAAAAGCATCACTATAGCAACTTTATAGTCTTCTCGGCTTAAATATCCTTTGTTGTTTTCATCACATGCCTCAAATGCCTAAATAAAAAATAAAGATAATTAGGATTTTAAAACCTCACTATTACTTATCTTGATATATGCTACCACTGTGAAAATCCTTCAAAATGTACTTCAAAATATATAATAATGTATGCCAATGTTAAAACTTTTAAAGCAACAAAGTCTTTTTAAAGTCTTAGTAACCGAAATGGTGTAGGGTTTCCTGCCCGAGCAGGGGGTTGGACTAGATGACCTCCAAGGTCCCTTCCAACTTTACTACTACTACTACTACTACTACTACTACTACTATTATTATTATTATTATTATATCTTCATCAATGATTTGGACGAGGGGATAGATGGGGAACTCATCAAATTTGCAGACAACACCAAACTGTCAGGAATAGCCAACACTCCAGAAGATACAGGAGGATCTGGATAGACTTGAACACTGGACGCTATCTAACAAAATATTCAGTGGCGAAAAAAGTAAGGCTCTACATTTAGGCAACAAAAAACAAATGTACAGGTATAATAGTTGGTACCTTGTTCAATAGTAGTAACTGTGACAGGGATCTTGGAGTCCTAGTGGACAATCACTTAAATATGAGCCTAACACAGTGCTAGTCTGCATTAACAGAGGGATAAAACCAAGATCACGTGAAGTATTAATACCACTTTACAATGTCTTGGTAAGGCCACACTTGGAATACTGCATCCAGTTTTGGTCACCGCGATGTAAAAAAGATGTTGAGACTCTAGAAAGAGTACAGAGAAGAGCAACAAATATGATTAGAGGTCTGGAGGCTAAAACATATAAGGAATGGTTGCTGGAATTGGGTATGTCTAGTTTAATGAAGAGAAGGACGAGGAGGATATGATAGCAATGTTCCAACATCTCAGGGGCTGCCACAAAGGAGAGGGAGTCAAGCTATTCTCCAAAGCACCTGAAGGCAAGACAAGAAGCAACAGGAGAAATTTCCTGACAGTTAGAACAATTAACCAGTGGAACAACCTGCCTCCAGAAGTGGTAAATGCTCCAACACTGGAAGTTTTTAAGAAGAGGCTGGACAGCCACTTGTCTGAAATAGTATAGGGTTTCCTGCCTGAGCAGGAGGTTGGACTAGATGACCTGCAAGGTCCCTTCCAACTTTTATTATTATTATTATTATTATTATTATTATTATTATTATTATTATTATTATTATCTTCTCTCATACCAGGTTAAGACTATTAAATTTGGAATTTTATTGTCTGTAATGTAATGTATAATGATATGTATATGCTAGCTAACCCCTGCTCTGTGGGTCATTGTTTCAGAGATATTTCTTTATCCAAACAGTGAAATCAAATGACTATGGGGTGGCAAAAAAGCAGTGCAAAAAAAAAAAAAAGGAAAGTTATAACCAGTAGCCAGCACAGGTTTGTCAAAAACAGATCATGCCAAACAAATCTTATTTCATTCTTTGACAAGTGACTAAATTAGTGGACCAGCAAAATGCTTTGGACATAGTACCAAATATATACTTGGATTTCATTAAGGCATTTGACAAAATATATCACAACCAACTTTTTAGTAAGTTAGAAAAATGTGGGATAGACAGCATCATCACCAGATGGATTTGTAACTGGCTGACAAACCTCACTCAAAATGTAGTCCTTAATGGAACTATATCTACACGGAGGGAAGTAAGCAGTGGGGTACCCCAAGGTTCTGTCTTAGGCCAGTATGTTTCAATATCTTCATAAATGATTTAGATGAGAGAATAGAAGCGGAACCCTTCAGATTTGGAGATGAAACCAAGCTGGCAGGAATAGACAACACCCAGAAGATAGACTCCAGATCCAGAAAGATCATGACTGACTTGAACACTGGGCCCTATCTAACAAAATTCATTGGTGACAAAAGTAAGATTTTACACTTAGACAAGAAAAACTGGTATGGAATAGGTCAGTGATGCTGAATCTTTTAGAGAATGAGTGCCCAAACTGCAACCCAAAACCCACTTATGCATCATCGAGTGCCAGGTGGGTGTGGCCCATTGGGTGGGCATGGCTGCGATGGTAACGGCAGACTTGACGGGGCTAAAAAGTTCAATCAATCAATTCCAACTTTGCGAGATTTTTTTTTCCCGCAAGAAGTTGAAATTGACTGATTGAACCTTTTTTTTTTTTTTGCACACAGTGGAGGAGGCCTAAAGCGAAAAAGTTTTATAAAACCCAGCTGAAGGCCTAGGACTGGGGTGATGGTGCACGTGCCCACAGACAGGGCTCTGAGTGCCGCCTCTGGCACCCGTGCCATAAGTTCGCCACCACTGGAATAGGTGAAAGCTGACTCAATAGCAGCAATTGCAAGAGGGATCTTGGAGACCTAGTGGACAGTCACTTAAATATGAGCCAGTAGGTGTTTCAGCCACCAGAAAAGCCAAGGTAATTCTAAGTTGCATTAACAGAGGGATAGAATCCAGATCACATGAAGTGTTAGTACCGTTTTGTAATGCCTTGGTGGGACCACACTTGGAGTACGTTTCCTGACAATTAGAACAATTAATTAGTGGAACAACTTGCCTCTAGAAGTTGTGGGTGTTCCAACACCTGAAGTTTTTAAGAAGAGATTGGACAACCATTTGTCTAGACCACAGGTCGGCAACCTGCGGCTCCGGAGCCGCATGCGGCTCTTTGAGCCTTCCCTTGTGGCTCCCAGCCTCCTCTGCCTTTGCAGAGAGAGACAGAGACAGAGAGAGGCAATTGCGCTTCCCTGCTTCTCTGTGTGTGTGTGTGTGTGTGTGTGTGTGTGTGTGTGTGTGTGTGTGTGTGTGTGTGTGTGTGTGTGTGTGTGTGTATGTGTAAAAGAGAGTGCACTCACATTGTTCTCCGAGGAGCTGAAAAGCTTTCTGGGCGGAGCTCCTCCCTTTGCTGCGTCTCTGCAGGAAGCAGGAAGGGCAGGAGAGAGCTAGCTAGCCCAGCTAGGCTGACTCAGGAATTCTGGGAGTTGAAGTCCATGAGTCATAAAAGACACGAGGTTGCCTACCCCTGAGATTGTTGGAGAACAACTTGAAGCTTGCCAGGTGAGCAGCAGATGGGGGGGGAGAAAGAAAGAGAGAGAGAGAAAGAGAGAGAGAGAGGGAGGGGGAAAGAGAGAGAGGAAAGAGAGAGAAAGAAAGAGAGTGGGGGAAGAGGAGTGGCAGACCAAGGGCAGAGAGGGAGGGAGGGAGACACAGAGAGAGAGACCCTTTTGACATCTAAAATGAAGATAACACTGCATATATCCTTTTTTTACCTGTGTGTGTATGTAATTTTATTCTCTTAAAGCATTCTCTCGGTGATCATTGTTTTAATAGTATGGATATTCCCAAGAGTCATATTTTTACTTTTATTTTTAACGTGTGTGTGTGTATGTGTGTGTGTGTGTGTGTATACACACACACACACATACACAAACTCTCTCTCTCTCTCTCTCTCTCTCACACACACACACACACCTATAATAAAGATAAAAAAGGATATATGCAGTGTTATCTTCATTTTAGATATCAAAAGGGTTTTGCGGCTCCCGGTGTTTTGTTTTTGGTGGGAAACGGGTTCAAGTGGCTCTTTGAGTGTTTTGGGTTGCCTACCCCTGGTCTAGACTCATACCCAACCAGCCTGCGCCTGTCTTCAACAGTGAAGAGACACAGGGCAGAAAACATCCTGCAGCCAAGAAGGCTGTACACACATTTGCACTACTCAGGTGACCCTGAGGACACAGGTAAACCTCCAAATGGCCTCTGCGACTCTCTAAATCAGGACTTTTCAATGGGTGGCATAAGTACCACCTGTGGTACTTTGCCACGTGGCAGGTGGTATGCAACTGTCCTAGAGAAGTGTAGTGGGGGGAGGGGAATGAGCCAAAGCTACCCAAGCCTGAGGGAGAGGCAGCTGCAGCTGCAGGACTTTCTAGGCTCCGCAGAAGCCCAGGAGCCTGCAGGGCTCCAGCTGATTGCTCCAGCTGATTGGCGCTTCCAGAAGCAGCTCAGAGCTGGAAGTGAACTGAAGAAAAAGGGGGGAGGAAAGGAGAGGCTATAAAAGGAGGTGGTTTGGGCAGGAAAAGGAAAAAAGCAAATGTAATTAGTTTTACCCCCTTTAATTGAGTCTGTCTATGGCTTTTAGAAAGTTTTGTTTGAAGGTAAACAGACTTAATTTAAAGCTAAAGCTTTTCGCAATTGCCGGAGCCTTTCAGTCTTGGATTGCAACATTGTGACACGTGACACGCTTGAGGCAGCTTAAAGAAAAAAACAGTTTATGTGTGTCTTTATTTTATGAGCTTTTCTTGCTTTGCACTTGATTCCTGTGTCTTTAAGGGTACAGGGAAGGGATTGGGGTGGTGGTGCATTCTTACTACACTCAGAAGGGAGAGAGGAAGAAAGGCCAACTAGCTAGCTCATGGGTCTACAAACTTAGCAACTTTAAACCTGTGGACTTCAACTCCAAAAATTCTTCAACCAGTCATGATGACTGAGGAATTCTGGGAGTTGAAGTCCACAAGTCTTAAAAATGCCAAGTTTGAAGACCCCTGAGCTAGCTGGTAACGGTGCATATTAATAAATATGGATAAATTCATCATACATTTGTCAGTGCAAAGGGAAAGTGATTCAGCAAAGGAACAGCCACAGAAGAAATTAAAACTGGTACTTTTTTCCTTTGTTTCTACAGTTTGTAATATTTTATTAGTTTATAGAATAAAATACAAAACTATAAAAGCAAATAGTAAAACACAGTGGGGAGGAAAAAAGGGGAAAAAGTGAGGGGGAGAAAGGAAAAAAGAACAGACTTCCTCTGTTGCAGTAGAAGGAAGCATTAAGACTGAACCTCAACTTTTTACTTTTCCATAATATTATAAACTAGCCATTTCTATAACAACAAATGAATCTAATCAGTAAAACCCAAAATCCCCCCCTTTTTTTTAGTCATCAAGTTCTTGACACCTTGCTAAGCACTGGTAGTACTCAAATATTGTCATGTCCTAAAAGTGGTACAATCTGTGAAAAGGTTGAAAAGCCTGCTCTAAATAATGCAAATGACCAGCTGTCTGCAAGGAACATAAATCCTTCCATTCCCCACCATCCAGTCAGAGCTGAAGAAGCTTCTTGGATAAGAAGCAAAAACATCTTCAAAGAAAAACAAGGAAGTCCAGTTGCCTCCTGAAAAAGCACCTTTGGGACAACCATGACTTGGATGGCTGAGAATCTCCACAGACACTGCTCTCTTGAGGTTTCTTTCTAACTCTTTTGTCTTCTACACTTGAAACTATTTTTTCAACAAAGCTAATGATGCAGTGAATTTGGCAGTCCTAACCATTTAAGACCAATAAAAAAGGGTTTATAATGAAGATTCACAACTTGAATATCTTTCCTCAACAAATGGTACCTATCATTTTCAGCAGCTGCTAAAATAATCACAACATAAGAAAATGTCAAAGCAATCCTGAATTGAATAATAGTGGTAATACAGTTCAGAAATACTTTGATATTCTTTGAATGTATATGAAAGAGATTAGAGAAAGTACACATGAATCTAATAATGCTATAATTCTGATTAAATAAAGATCTCAGCCTCTTTAGTTATATGCAGCAATCATACAGCAACATGCCTTTAAAATAATCCAAAGAGAAAAGAAAAATGACAAATTGCCTACTGATGATCACTAGAAACACTTTGTGAAGAAAACTGTTAATGAAATCCATGAACAAATTATCAGGTCCTGAAAAGACACCAGGGCTACTTCAGAATCTTTGAATAATGATTAAAAGAAACAACCAATAAGCTTTGTTATTTTAAATTTTAGATATCAATTACAAATATATTAGAGATTATAAGACTTTTGAAAGTGAGCATAAAGCAATTATCACATTCTAGACAATTGGGAAAGATGGATATAATTCTAACTTTCATTGAAATTTGATGTTAGTACAATCCATAAAAAATAAAATTGTTTAGAATAAAACTTTAAAAATCTCCATCTTCCAGGCATAATGCATGTCTAACAATGTAACATCATTACATTAATTCAGATTAAAGTTCATTCAATATAGGGTGTATGCCCATGGTATCACATAGTACAGAAACAGCACTAACTGATGATCTTTGATGATGCATCTGTCCTGGTTGATCTCTCAATCATGATATCCTTCTGGACCAACTATGGGCTTTGGGATTATGAGAAATGATGCTGCAGTGATATTAGACCCGTAGGTGAGGTTATCCATCAGTATGGGGTTAGGTAAAATCAGTAAACTGATTATGGTTCTGTCTCAGACCCTATTCAACCAAGTAATATTGTCAAAGTTTAGTCCTAGTTCTTGGAATCTGTGATGATCTGGATGGAGGCAACAGACTCAAACTCAAATCTGGGTTCATGAACTTACCATTTCTGGGGATTTTGCAATTAATACACCTCTCTATATAATTGATACGCAATTTGGGGAAGTTCTTGGATTCATTGTTTCGGTTTAAGGAGAGAGTTACAGCTGTGGCCAGGATGGCCTTTATACAAATCCAACTTGTGCACCAGTTGTACCCATTCCTGAACTGAGGGCCCTATTCACAATCATTCATGCATTATCCACCTCTCATCTGGATTCTGGCAAATCACTTTACCTGAGCATGCCCTTAAAATCCATTTGGAAATTAACTGGTGCAGAAAAAGGCAGTACAAGCAGATGATGGTATGTCCATATAAAACCACTCTACCACCACCAGCAGGCTACCAGGTGCAATTCAATGTGCTGATTGTCATATATAAAGCCTTTCATGTCTTAGGCTCTGTTATTTGATGGACTATTTTTTTCTCATGGCTTCTGCCTATAATATGAAGAATTGCAAGAAACCAGGTGTATTTAATTTAATGAAAAGAAGGATTAGGAATATCTTCCAATATCTAAGGGGCTGCCTCAAAGAAGAGGGGGTCAAGCTATTTTCCAAAGCATCTGAAGGCAAAACAATAAGCAATGGATGGAAACTAATCAAGGAGAGAACCAATCTAGAAATAAGGAGAAATTAATTAGAATAATTAAACAGTGGAACAGCTTGCCTTCACAAGTTGTCGGTGCTCTCTCACGGAAGGTTTTTAAGAAAAGATTGAACAACCATTTGTCTGAAATGTTAAGGGTCTGCTGCTTGACCAGGGGTTTAGATTAGAACAGGGGTCCCCAACCCCAGTCCATGGACCAGCACCAGGCCGCAGAATGCCAGCAACCAGGCTATGCAAACAAGGGAAGCCCCATTCGCAGGATGCAGACAGCATGCAAAGCCACATCCCTCCAGTTTGTGGAAAAGCCTCTCTCCACAGAACTGGTCCCTGGTGCCCAGGTTGAGGGCTGCTGGATTAAAAGATCTCCAAGATCCCTTCCAACTCTGTTGTTCTGTTATAATCTGTTAATCTGACATTTCCCATACTTTCGATCACATCTTTCAAGCATGCCTCTCTTACTAGATTTGATGGAGCAGGCAGACATAACTGGGAAGAGGCAGCCCCACAGTTTACTACTCATGTTCTATGTCAGGTTTTACAGGGGAGAACCAGCACTTCATATTGCACTTGGAAACATATTGGGAACTTAAGGATACTGTATGTTGAGCAGCACCCATAACTGCCTGTCCTGCTGCATTTTGGACTAGCTGAAGTTTCTGGATATTCTTTTTTTTTAATTTTTATTTTTAACCAACAAGACAAAACAGAACAAAGCAACACATAACACACACAATATATATACCTCCTTTTTTTTACAGCAATTATGTAACAGTAATCTAATATTTACATTTCCCCCTTATTCTTCTTTAAATATTTGTCCTTATAGCCCCATTATTTCTTATTTACATTTTTCTTCCTTCATGTGTACACATATTTTCACTTTTGACCTTTCCATATTTATTCTCCTCTATTATTTCTAATCTCCAACCAGACATACACCTTGTTCCATACTATATAATACTCTGTGTCTTCCTTTTCTTTTATCTCTTTTGTTAATTTGTCCATCTCAGCACAGTCCAAGATTTTTCTTATTACTTCTTCCTCTGATGATATATTCTCATTTTTGTTTCTGGATATTCTTGTAAGGCAGCCCCATTGGAGAGTGCATTGCAGGATCCACTCCGGAGGCGATCAAGGCAGTTCCTCCCAGTCCATGAAAGGGCACAATTGACACACAAGACGAAGTTATATTTTGGCATGTGTTTGGGGGAAACTGTTTTTTTTCTTCTTCCAGTGTTTCCTTGGAATGTATTCTTGCAAGTTGCATTGGTAGGGTTAGGGATCTTTAGCAGTTGGGAATCTTTAGATGAGACGAGAAAATACAGGGACTTCGACCATAAAAGCCCCATTTAAAATACCTACCTTAACCCATCGCTTGTTACGGTACTTCTCGGCTGGGCAATCTTTTGATTTCGCTGCTTCTTTAGGAGCCGCCCACATTGCCAACAGTAGAGGCACCGCCAACTAGCATGAAGTTTTCCTTAGCAACGGAGCGACTCTTCACAATCAAAATGCGGGTTGTCAGCGGCAGAAGGTGCGAGAAAATCCCATTGGAGGAATCGGGCGGAAAAAAAAAAGCTGGTGGTTCATACTCTAAGTTCTTGATAAACGGCCCAATCATTGGTAGCAACGGGCTGTCGATCATGGGCTCCAGGGGAGGAAGCTTTACCCGGAAGAGGAAGTTTTTCTCCCTTGTTCTCTTTTTAAGTTTCACTGGTGGACTGCTAGTGGGGTGTTTTTGGGAGTTATTTTCCGTTTCTTGTCTTCTACTTTCTTCCACTTATAGCTTGTTCCGGTTTGATTTCTAGCGCGCAGTGCACCTGCGGTTCCCTGCCTTATATGAACAGATCCCGCGATCGTTTTCTGCTCCGTGTTAACAAAGTGTGCGACGTGGCTGGCGATGGATTTAAGTGTATAGCAGTGGCGAACGATTTAAAACAACTAAATTCAGGATATTGAATTATCCTCATGTACTGCCTCCTGCCCAGTATATTTTATCAATCTGTTTTATATCGATTATGGCTTGCCTCTGGTGAACTAAAAAGATAGAAAACGAGTTTGCCTGTTACAGACTTACTGCTTTTAGGAACGGAGGGCAAGGAGTGTATAAACAACCAAATACAATTGAATTCTCCTTGGATGGCCCTGAATGGGAATGTGTGAAAGCTGAAGGCACAGCATGATAGCTAATTGACTGAAGGGGCTTCTGCACTGTGAGAAGGTGGGAGAAGTAGTCTCCTTTAGATTTTCCTGGAGATTTCTCTCTCTTTTTCCCTTGATACAGGCTATCATGTCTCAGGAAAGTCAGCATGGGAAATGGACATTGTCCAGTAGTGAAGACAGTATGGATGAGTTAGTTGATTCTGAGAAGCCTTCTACCTCTGTGGTGCAGAGAGGTCAGGAAAGTAAAGAGAGTAGTCACTCTTGCTCGGAGGCAAGGAAAGTTGCTCTCAAGAGAAAAATGTCTCCTCTGAAATATGTAGCTGGAAATCTTCCACAGGAGGAGGCCTCAGATCAGAAATTTGCACAGGAAGACTTTGGCTGGTGTCTTTCAAGTAGTGAAGATGAGGATCTTAAAGCCTCGAGTGGAAATAGAGATGCAATAAGTACAGTCAGAAAAGCAGAGAGTAGTACATCCATGGAGCTGCCAAAAACGTGTAAGATTTCATCAAGTTGCAAGTCTGCAGTCCCATCTGAAGTGCAGGATACATGGGATCTGTTGAATGGGCAGAACCCCTTCAGATTCTTCCTCACTAAAGTCAAAGGAATTAAGTCAAAATACAATTCTGGAGCCCTTCATATAAAAGGTAAGCAATATCAAGGCAAAAATACTATGGGGAAGATGTACCTAAAAGTGCTAGATGCTTTGTTTTTCTAAAACAATTATACATGCTGTAACTGGCATATGTAATGCAGTAACAATCTGATGCCCTAACATTATACCCAGGGAAATTTTGCTGCCTGATCAAGCTTCCTATTTGTTAATTTTTAAAAAAACAATTAATTAAAAATGAATGGGAAACTAGCAGCTGTAGAATATCAGTCTCAGGGATAGTCTGCATTTTCAACAATGCCTCTAAGCTCCACATAGACCCTAAAAGTATTAGAAACTAAATTGGTGGGTTCTTCAAAACGACCTACTGACCCAGAAAGCCTAGAAGAGCTTAAGAATTTCTTACATAATTACCAAATTGGCTTCAACAATCAATTATATTATGGCCAAAAGGCCCAGACAATTGAATTTTTCTGTGCTTTATGATTGGCATTGCAAAATACAAATGAACTCAATTGAAAATAATAAAAAATAAAGAAACAATAGAATTGCTATATCTTCAATATCTGTGATGGTTTGTTTTTGTAAGTTATATTTTTTTAAATGTATTTATCAAAGATACTAAACACATATCTTAATGCCTTCCTTATTTTGCTACCAGCATATGCCAATTGGTTAATCTGCAGCCAGATTCTGTTCTTATCATATCTCAGTTGAATATTTTGCTAGAAACATTCAAAATAAGAAGGCCCAACAAGTCCAAGTTCTAATATTATTTAAATTATGGCTGCCAAGGTGTACTGAGACACTCTTCTAAACCTGCAACTTAGACTGTGACAATTCTGATGTTCTCTTGGAAATGAATACTCAAACTGAACATTGTGATTAGCTTTTTAGTTATGGTTTCAATCAAACCAGAACCAGAAACTATCTTAATCTTAATTTTGTTTAAATAAATCATGAAATTTAAGCAAGCTGCATATTTTCTAATTTGGATAAACCGAAATATTGCAATTAGTTGAAAACAGACCCAGTTGCTTTCAGTTGGCTGCAGTCGGGGGAGACTGTTTTTGTTGCAATTTAACATGTAACTTGCATATACTGTAGCATGTGAATTGCATTTACAAAATATATTAAATGATGGTTTAACCAGTGTAAATAAAAACAGCTAGTTGGACTCAAATGCAGCATGGTAAACATTCTTAACCATGAACCAGAAAATTATGTCATGGATTTTGTGTTTCGAATAAACATTTCTTGCTGTCACGTGTGTGTTCCTACATCATGGTATAAGTCCTGTAATTTGTTTGGTTTGAGTTTCCTGTAATGTATGAACCTGACCTTGGCAAAATCTAGGCTTAGTTGCTTGATGTTGTTACTCATTTCAGTAGATATGCTTACTAGCAATACATCTTTTTTTTCTTATAACAGATATTTTATCTCCTCTTTTTGGGACTCTTGTATCTTCTGCTCAGGTACATTTTATTTTCTTGTCATTTTAAAATAAAAAGGGAGATCTTTTCTGCAGTAGTCTCAAAATTCAGAATAGTCTTTTGGAAATGTATAAGTAAAATAGCTCTGTATTTTAAAAAGGTCCAAAAGCCATGGTAGAATGATAACTTTAATAAAAACAATATCACAAAATAGGTGGTAGTTCTAAAAGACACGAAATCTTGTGTGTGTGTATGTGTGTTTACGGCTAACTTTATTTCAATGGTATTAAAGAATAAGTATCATTTTGTATTAATACATTTATGAGTTTAGTTAGATATTCATTAGAAATCTATTAACTAGAGGTGGCAAATCAATATTTGTAATGTTTTAACTTAAGAACTACTTTTGTAGTCCTGATCATTAATGCTTGTCAGGATCCCTGAATGCAAAAGTCTAACCAAACTAATTATGATATTTTTAATGTGTTTTTAAATTTTCTTAGTTAGGAACCCAGACTTACTATTCTACAGTAAATCAAGATTGTACATTAACAATACAACTAGATTCTCAGCACTTGCTATTAAGTAATATAAGTTAGGATCGACAGTTTGGAGAATTGCTTGTTTAATTCTTGAGAGAATATTAAGGTGACCAACTTTTTTACAATGAAAAGGAGGACACAAATAAATTGAAGAAAAAAATATCGTAAATAAAAGAAACATTGTATTTATTGCAACAATAATACAGAATACGCTATAATATGATAAATGCATAATAAAAAACATTTGTAACAATACAATTTTATATTGTAATTATGCTTACATGCCTATTAATTATTATTTAAATGAGTACTGCACGGGGTGGGTGGCAGAGGCAGGTGTTGCGGGCCAGGCGCTCCAGGATGGCCACGTAGGCGCGCAGGGTGAGGTTGTGGCAGCGCAGGTCAGCACTGCGTAGACCACCAGCTGGCATGGCCCATGGAAGGTCAACAGCCCGCCGCGGCCCCGCCCACAGCCGCCCCGCCAGCACCGCTGCCCTGCCGTGGAGAGCCAGCCCCGTGGCTTGCAAAGCACCAGCTGCGCCAACTTCAGCCCTGCAGCTACCCCCCCAGCCACCCCCAGCACCACCGCCCCCAGCCTGCACATCCCTGTAGAGCCAGCCCCGCGGCTCGCAAAGCACCAGCTGCGCCAGCTCCGGCCCTGCAGCCACCCCCCCAGCCGCCTCCCCAGCACCACCGCCTACCCTGTGCATCCCCATGTAGAACCGAACAGGGAAGATCAAGAGAAACTTACCGCTCCAGTCTCCTCCAGCTATCTTTGAAACTAAGTAGGAAATGGTGTAGTTGGGTAGCAGTGAGGGGTGCAAAGTTCCTGCAAAGTTTGCTGCCCGGATGTTTTGGCGTGCTCAGCAGCAATTCCTATTGGCTTTCGAAAGCCAATAGGGGGAATAGCACAGTTCATGCAAAAGTTGAAAAAAACCATCAAAAAAAGGTCCCAAAATGCCTTCTGAGCATTCTATGAGTAAAAAAAAGCCCTACAAATTAGTCTTCAAATATGAAAAAGGAGGACATCTAGTCTTCAAATATGGAAAAGGAGGACATCTAGGAGGACACTTTTTGAGGGAGGACAAAACTTAAAAAAGGAGGACTGTCCTCCCAAAAGGAGGACGGTTGGTCATCTTAAGAATATCCATGCATAAGTTAATAGAATGTGTGCAATCGGGCTCAGTTAGGAAAAACTATGATCTCTCAAAATTCTGGCTTAAATTTTTCATCTGTTTTTGTACATTGTATAGAATGGTATTTGTTAATTTCTAATATTCTATTATTAGAATGTTTGTGTTTTTATGGATAAGGCACCATACAAGTCTGTATAAACAAAGGTACAACTTCTAACGTGCTGTCATTCATAGGCATAATATTGCATTCCCTTCCCTTTTGATTTCTAAGAACTATTTTCATTTTTTTCCCCATGGCAAAGTTTAATTATTGTATAGATGTGGAATGGCTGGTCCAGCAATATCCAAAGGAATTCAGGTACATAAAAGAGCTTTGGTGTTTAATTTCAGCTTCCATTTCATATTTTTAATTCATGCATCCTAAATTTACTGTTGTGGTCAGTATTGTGGGATAAACGTTATTTGCTACACTGAATAAGAAAAATGAGCTTAAGAATACAGCAACAGTATCAATGTTTCATAAGAAGATGCCACTCTTTGAAGAAAAGAGAAAACATATTTTTACACTGAAGAACTTTAATGTTTAGCACAACTTTTATTTAAGAATATAACATTTGATATGTATTTATAAAAATATTTTCTTAAATAATTTATAATTTTAATTTAATATCAAGGTTAGAGTACTATATACTTTTGGTAAATATAGCTATAGCTATTTTCAGTGCTTTCTGGTAGAAAGATAGCATTTACATGTAGTCCCCACTCTATGTAAGAGTTCTGTTCTAGAGAACTTTGGTAAGTTGAGAACTTTGGTAAGTAGGTTCCTTGAGTTGTGCATTATGCGGAAAATGGCAAGGGTTATTTTCATAACCCTTTGTGTCATGTTCAAATTATGTTATTCAAGGGCGATAGAACCCAGAGATTGTTACTTGCCTACCACGTATTCAGATACAAGAAATCGTAGCCAGTATTGGCTGACAGATATGATTGAAAATTCTGGAGATGTAGTTAGTCCTAGTGCACGGTGAAATAAGTTTCTCTGATCTATGTATAAAGTTGAGCAACACATAGAAAAGGCAACCTCTTTTCCCTCCCTATGAATTCTGTAAGGAAATACATCTGTTCATTTTTGTTCCCTTTAATTTTTCCTACCAATTTTAAATTGTGTGGTGGTAAATTGTGTTTTTCTCCTTAAATCATCACATTTATGAAGGTGGGGATGAAGACAAATGGAAGGGAAACTGAAGTGTGGATACAAATTTCTTTCAGAGTTTAGAATGGGAAAGGGAGGATACTATACCTGATTTTGCGCTTGCCGTGCATAGGAGCTTTCTTCATGCTTGCATTTGCTTTCCGGGGAATAACTACCTAATTATACAATGTTAGAGGTTAGCATTTTTGAAAGTGGGAAGATGAAGTTGATCCTCCCATGCTCCTGTGAATGAAAGGTACATTTTTAAAGTGGAAGGAAAAAACATGTGAATAAAACATTTCATAATTATCCTTGAGAATGTAGCTCGACATATTTCTAAGATAATTAAGATGTTTCAAATAAGTAATAATTAGAGGCTTGTGCAAGTGATTTTTTAATATTTTTTTTAATCTTAGGGACAAACCTTTATTAATAGTCCATGGAGAGAAGCGAGAATCCAAGGCTGAGCTACATGAAGATGCTCACCCATATAAAAATGTTCGTTTATGCCAGGTAATTTCTTTTATTACTATCTTTACCAAAAGTATATAGTACTCTAACCTTATAATACTATTCTAGTATCATCTAGCAAGCATGCTCAAAAACTCCCCCCCAATGTTTTCATGTTCAACTTTTGAATTTTGTTTTTCTGTGTAGCATAAGTATTAATGTGATTATATAACGCTTTTATTCTGTTTTCTAAAAAATACTATGTTTCCCCAAAAATAAGACCCAGTCTTATTTTATTTTATTTTTTGCCTCCAAAAGAGGCACCAGGTCTTTTCCACTCACCTTGCGACGGCCACATCGGCAGCCCCACCCAGCCAGCCCACTACTTCTGCAGCCAAAGGAGCAGCTTCTTTCTGCAGCTGAGAATGGAGCTCCAGCCTACATTTTGCAGTCAGAGGCCTTTCCGAAATGTCTCTGTAGCCGAGAACTGAGCTACGGAAAGGCCTCTGACTATGAAATGCAGGCCGGGGGATGCCGCAGAAGAAGTGGGCTGGCAAGGAGAGGCAGGTGTCGATTCATGGGAGGCCTGGTAAGTGGACGTGGGGCAGCTCTACCCCCCTACTCCTGCTGTAGCTTGATTTTTAGGCATGTGTTTCGTCCCAAAACTAGGGTTTATTTTTGGAGTAGGACTTATATTAGGCCCACTCTTAAAAATCAAGCTAGGGCTTATTTTCAGCATAAGTCTTACTTTCGGCGAAACAATTCATTATAACAAAATATTAAAAAATTGAAGTATAATGAAAGGCACTAGTAATATGAAGGAGGTCTTTTTCCTAATTTTTCATGTTCTCTAATGTTTGTATCTCTTTTTTCTTGCATAATAAATTTGCCTGGGTGATCTTGGGCCACTAACACTCTCTCAGCCCAACTCACCTCATAGGGTGGCTATTTTGGGGGAAATAGGAGGAGAAAGATATGTTTTCTGCATTGCGCTATTTCTAAAAATAAAGGCAAGATATAGATAAAATAATGTTCTACTTAAACCTTTCCTAACTTGGCATTTTTTGTCTATATTAGGACTGCAATTCTCAAAATTTCCAGTAATTATGACTATAGCTAGTGTTTGCTGGAAACATTGGAAATTGCAGCTTCAGTTCATCTGGATGACAATGGCTTTGAAATACAATCTGAGACACTTGAAATGAATGTGTGACTATTAATTGTATAAAATGATGTTTGAAATATCTTTGAATCAAAGATTATATTGTGTTGTACTAGCTATAAGAAGTCTATTGTGCAGTTTGTGCAGCAGCCACTGGAGAGCAGTAAAATAAAGCAAAAAAGTATTTTTTCTGTATCATTTTCATATAATGACAGGGACCCTATACTGAAAAACCTATTTTTAAACAATGTTCTTGTTGTAGGCAAAATTGGATATTGCCTTTGGAACCCACCACACGTAAGTAATTTATCATAAATGCTGAATGTCTGCCACAGAAATATCTTTAATTACTTTGATAAATGCCACCGCGATTGTAGAAATAATTCAAATGTGTTTGGGTACTGAGAAAATACAAATAAAATGCCAATTATCTTGGCATAAATAGAAGAGGTAAAACCAATTACCTCTTCTATTTATTTTCTCCATCGCTTTTGCTTTTGCTTTGTTTTAGGCTAATTTTTGAATAATAAGCCTAATTCATTTAGTATTCACCTTCCAGAATTCTCAAAAGTAGCTACTTGATGAAGGTTCCTTGAGAGTGTTATCAATATATGGGAAGATTTTCTCCTGGAAAGGAAAATGCTTTATTATAAGATGATGAGCTTATAATAAAAGGTACAATCCTATAAATCTCAACCTTTTTAGTGTTGAAAATATAGGTGTCAGCTATACTAATGGTTTATTTAAAATAAATCAGGCTTATATTGCCTTCAGAGACATTTTAATTTTGATGTGTTTTGTGTCAGATGCAGCTGGACCTCAGTTACATTTGTACATATAGTTACATACATGGTCTTACAACCATGGATGCTTTGAAAACGTATCAGAAGAAGGACTTTAATGAGTGGGTTTCATTTTTAAAAGTGGGTTTTCTTCTCAGGCATTCATAAAAGCCTGAAAATGATAGGTTTGTTTTCATGAATAGCAGATAGGTGATCCACTAGTGCAAGACCCAAAGCACTTTTTATAACTGTCATAAATAACATATCATAAATACATGCCAATTGCCAAGCTCCCAAATTTTGATCACACCTCTATGGGGATGCAATTAAACCAAACCAAAACCTGGCACAATAGCTAAACTTTCACATGCAGCTCACAATTTCATCTCATTAATCCCATTTTATCCCGAGTGGTATGGTGGCCTAGAGGTGCAGCTTTCACCTCACAATCAGGAGGCTGTGAGTTTGATCCTGGGTAACGGCAGATATTTCTCTTTCTGGGTGCAAAGAGAAAATATCTGGTGCGAACTCCATGTAGGCATCAGGAAGGGCATTTGGCCAGTAAACGCTCAGCTCCATTCACTCACCCCAACTCCACCCTGATGCAAGGGATTACAGGATTGTTTCAAAAAAAATTATCCTATCCCAGTGCATAGGAGAAAAGCCAAGCCTTAAGTGCTCTGCAGAACATTAAAAGGGTGAGGGCCTGCCAAATTTCAAGAAAAAAGAGTGTTCTATATGGGGCTGCTATAGAAAAGGCATGTTTCCTAGGTCCCATAATATGGCAATATTTAAAAGAGGGAACTAGGAACATGCTCATTCCACCCAATCTGGTAGGACAGGCAAATGTCCTTATTTTTTATTTTATTTATTCATATCTCATCTTCATTATTTTTACAAATAACTCAAAGCAGTTCTTGAGACGCAGTCCTGCGGATAGCCTGATCGCATGCAATATAGGATTTTAATGGTAGTAATCAACACCTGGAATTGTACCCTGTGTTCCTATGTTTAAGTTATAAAAAATTGGCCATGGTTGAATGACCACAACATGTTTGCCTTGTTTTAGCTAAATAATAATAACAACAACAACAACAAAATACAAAGACTTACAAATAGAAATAGAAAAATTGTGGCAAAAGCAAGCAAGAGTAGTACCAATAGTAATAGGCGCCTTGGGTGCAATCCCAAAACAACTGGAGCACCACTTGAACACCATTGGCATTGACAAATTCGCTATTAGTCAATTGCAAAAGGCGTCCTTACTAGGAACTGCTTCCATCCTGCGACGATATCTGTAATACCATCAAACATCCACATCTGCCTATCCCAGGTCCTGGGTAAGGACTCGATAGGTAGACAAAATGCCAAATCCAGTCTGAACATCTGGCTGACTGTGCGATGATCCATCATCATCATCATAGTAATAATAGTAATAATAATAATAATAATGTTGGAAAGGACTTGGAGGTCATCAAGTCCAACCCCCTGCTTAGGCAGGTAATCCTATACCATTTCGGACAAATGGCTGTTTAGTTTCTTCTTAAAAACTTCCAGTGTTGGAGCATTCACCGCTTCTGGAGGCAGGTTGTTCCACTGGTTAATTGTTTTAACTGTCAGGAAGTTTCTCTTTAGTTCTAGGTTGCTTCTCTCCTTGATTAGTTTCCATCCATTGCTTCTTGTCCTGCCTTCAGGCGCTTTTGAGAATAGCTTGACTCCTTCTTCTTTGTGGCAGCCCCTGAGATATTGGAACACTGCTATCATGTCACCCCTTGTCCTTCTCTTCATTAAACTAGACATTCCCAATTCCATCAACCTTTCCTTATATGTTTTAGCCTCCAATACCCTAATCATCTTTGTTGCTCTTCTCTGTACTCTTTCTAGAGTCTCAACATCTTTTTACATCGTGGTGACCAAAACTGGATGGAGTATTCCAAGTGTGGCCTTACCAAGGCATTGTAAAGTGGTATTAATACTTTGCGTGATCTTGATTCTATCCCTCTGTTAATGCAGCCTAGCACTGTGTTGGCTTTTGTGGCAGCTGCAGCATACTGCTGGCTCATATTTAAGTGATTGTCCACTAGGATTCTGACATCCCTCTCACAGTTACTACTATTGAGCAAGGTACCCCCTATACTATACCTGTACATTTGGTTTTTCTTGCCTAAATGTAGAACCTTACTTTTTTCACCATTGAATTTCATTTTGTTAGATAGCGCCCAGTGTTCAGGTCTGTCCAGATCCTCCTGTATCCTAAGCCTGTCTTCTGGAGTGTTGGCTATTCCTGCCAGCTTGGTGTCATCTGAAAATTTGATGAGTTCCTCATCTATCCCCTCATCCAAATTGTTGATGAAGATGTTGAAGAGCACTGGGCCCAGAACAGAGCTCTGGGGCACCCACTACACTCTTCCCTTCATGTAGATGTGGTTCCTTTGAGGACCACACGCTGAGCATGGCCGGTCAGCCAGCTACGAATCCATCTGGTGGTGATGCTGTCTAACCCGCATTTTTCTATCTTATCAAGTAGTAGGTTGTGATCTACTTTGTCAAATGCCTTACTGAAGTCCAAGTAAATTATATCCACAGCATTGCTCTGGTCTACTAATTTTGTTACTTGGTCAAAGAATGCAATAAGATTTGTCTGGCATGATCTGTTTTTGACAAACCCGTGTTGGCTTTTAGTAATGACTTTGTTTGCCTGTAGGTGTTCGCTGATTCGATGTTTGATTATCTTTTCCAGAATCTTCCCAGGTATTGAGGTCAGGCTGATAAGTCTGTAATTTCCTGGATCCATTTTTTTTTCCTTTTTTGAAGATGGGAACTACATCAGCTCTTTTCCAGTCCTCTGGTAGTTCCCCAGTGCTCCAGGATTTTTGAAAAATATGGTTCAGTGGTTCTGAGATCACATCTGCCAGTTCCGTGAGAACCTTGGGGTGTAATCCATCTGGTCCTGCTGATTTGAACTCATCTAGGCTGGACAGGTGCTCACTTACCATTTTCTTGCCTATCTTAACTTGTATTTCTATTCTGTTTTTTTGTGGCACTATTTTTGATAGGTTGGTCTGCTTTTTCCCTTTGTGTAAAGACAGATGCAAAAAACGAGTTAAATAGTTCTGCTTTCTCCCTGTTACTTGTCACCTTCTTGCCACTTTCACTCACTAATGGACCAATCGTTTCCTTCACTTTTTTCTTGTTTTTTACATGTTGAAAGAAGCTTTTTTTGTTCATTTTGACTTTGGTAGCAAGCCTTAGTCATTTTAACTTAGCTTTCCTTACTTCATCTTTGCAGGCTCGTGCTATTTGCTGATATTCTGACTTAGTTATGTGTCCCTCTTTCCACTTTCCATACTTGTCCTTTTTATCTTTCAATTTATCAGAGAGTTCTTTGTGCAGCCATGCTGGTTTCTTTTGAGAGCTGTTATTTTTCCTCTTTGTTGGTATTATGCTAGATTGGATTTTTATTATCTCACTTTTCAAAATTTCCCAAGCATCTTGAGTTATTTTCCCCTGGAGGATTCTCATCCATGGAATCCTTCCCAAATCCTCTCTAGGTTTATTGAAATTAGCTCTCTTGAAGTCCAAGACTCTAGTTAGACTGTGTTCTAGTGCTTGTTCTTCCATAATATTGAATTCCACTATTGCATGATCACTTCCTCCCAAGGTTCTTATGGCTTCAACAACTTCTATCATTTTATCTCTATTAGTGAGAATTAGATCCAAAATGGCTGATCCCCTAGTTCCCTTCTCTACTTTTGGGGAGACAAAGTTGTCTGCTAGGTTTGTCAGGAATCTGTTTGATCTTCCACTTGGTGCAGAGTTTGTTTCCCAGTTGATGTCAGGGTAGTTAAAGTCCCCCATTACTATTGTGATGTGCTTCCTACATACCTTAGTTAGCTGTCTAGCAAAAAGTTCATCTATTTCCTCTGTTTGGTTGGATGGCCTATAGTATACACCTATGGCAATGTCATTCCCCCCCCCCCTTTTATATTGACCCAAATGCATTCAAGACAGTTTTCTTCATTGTTGTGCTCTATTTCTGTAGAGATGTAGTTATTTCTTATATAGAGAGCACTACTGTATACTTCTATTCTATTCTATTCTACTCTACTCTACTCTACCCTACCCTACCCTACCCTACCCTACCCTACCCTATTTTTTTAAAGTCTAGGCTACCCACCTCACTATAAAGGGGCTCTGGGTGGCTTACAAGATAAAAGCAACAATATCAAACATTAAATATTAAAATGATAAATATTAATATTAACATGAGCAGAAAACAAATAAGGAGGAATAAAATGGGGTGGAGCTGACTAGATTGACAGGAACTCATGACAGATCTAAACAAGAGGATCGATAATGCTAGTGCCTATTATTTTTATAATGTATAATGGTTTACTAATCTGTTTCCTTTAGTGCATTTGTCCTGTTATCCAGAACTTCCAAACTTTGTACAAATTTTCTTCCTAATTACCAACTGCCATTAAATTGAACAATCTGAGTATATTATAGCATGTAATTCATTCACTGTATGCTATATGGTACATAGAAGGCTTATGCAACAAGTTACAATACCATTTTAGTGCTCTTGCAGCATTCTGAATGGCTCTACTTAAATTAGGACTTTGTAATTCTTAGTTAATGACAAGTATGCTGGTTCTATTGGGGGCCTATCTAAAGCATTAGTTTTGCTTTAAAACTTGTACTGATTATTTGAAAGATAAACTACACATATACAAATTTGTTTCCACAATTTGAAATGTGATCCTGCTATGGCCAGCTACTTAAAAAAATTGCTAAGTAAATCTAATAGGCACATGCTCTTTTTGTACTCCTATTTTTGTGACAACTTAAAAAAAGAATTAAGTCACTATAGATTGTTAAATAGAAAATGTCTGATATTACCCTGATGTTTTCTTCCAAACAGTTAGGTTGCCTTAGAAACTGGCACCTGAGAATCAAAATGTACTGAAATAAAAATATACCTAGCCATATAACTGACTCACTGCATGATTACACATGGTTCTACTAGTGTTATAAATATTTATAGTTTAGAAATTAAAGCAAAAACTTCTTTAGAATATGCTTCATATGCTGCAAAATACAGCAAACAGTAAAACCTAAAACAATAATAAAACAATACTTTTGGGGGAAATTGTTTTAGTAAATATTACTTACCAATTTACAACAAAATATGCAGAACAAGTACAGATTGACAAGTGAAGCATCTATAAAGGTGATGTCCCCAAAAATATTAATGTAACAGTATAGAGCAACAAAGCAAAAAGAAAATCAAGCACAAAATAATAGGAAAGGAAGAAAAGACTCAGACGCTTTTGTGGTTTTGCAGGAATGTAAATGGGAGGTTGGGGAAATAAAACACAATTAGTCTTGCAAGATTCTGTTACACTAGTCTGTCTTAATAAAAGTAATTTTCCTTTCCCTGTAGTTTGCTTCCTGATCTGGTCTACATATGGGGCTGATAAAAATAACATTTGATCCAGCTAATCAGTTGGAAAATCAAAATTGGAATAGATCTAGATTTATGAAATATTCTCACTATTGAAGGAAAATTATAGCAACTCAAGTGGATCAATATCACTGAAACTCTTTTATGGTTCTATTGCATGTTTTATGTAAATACGCTCTTCATTTTTGGCCCTGGTCTTTTTTAATTTTTATAGTACTTAATATGCCATTTTGGGGATATTTAAATTACTTTTATAGGAAAATGATGCTGTTGAATTATGAAGAAGGTCTTCGAGTGGTGATACACACATCCAATCTTATTGATGATGATTGGTACCAGAAAACACAAGGGTAAGAAAAATTATAGTGTGATATTTTGGGCCATGACTGCATCCATGTTAATATCTTCACAACAGTCATTGAGTTGCTTATTCTTAGAGGACACATTCTTGTTTATTTATTAGTTATTTCTTCCAGAGTTCAAGGCAGTCTACTTAATACCACTTCTTCCAGTTTTTCCCACAAAAGCAATCCTATAACTGAACTGAAAGAGCAACTGGCCCAAAGTCACCTAGTGAACTACAGCTCATAGAAAAATGCTGTGAATATATTCTCTTATAATTGATGTCTATGACTGAGAAGGTAGTGCTTTGCTCTATTTCTCATACAACTCAGAAAGATAAAGGGCCTTTTTATTCAGGATCAGGAGTATTTTCTGAATATAGAATGTTTGCTTTTAGAGGGGAAATGATAGAAAATATTTGGCTATTTTCTACATAATAGCTATTTGGCCATCAACATGCCCCAATTCATTCATTAGTATAAACAATATAATTCTAGAACTGCTGCTTTAATATCCTAAGATTGACTTAATGAAAGTTGTTTGGGTCAGACTGTCCTGAACTTCTGTGTCTATGCATGCCTATCTTTCCTTGCTACAGAGATCAATTATGGATGAGGAAACTTAAAAAAATTATTATGCACCTTATTACTCTTGCCATGTTCTGTTTAATGATATTAGAAGGAAACCTGGGGTTTTATGAATCTTCATTCGCTCGTTATTCTTCTTCTTTAACACTTACATGGGAGCTACACATTTACAGACTTCCTTTTCTTTCTCCATGCACTGATAGAATATTCAACATGGTGGGAAAAGTTTTATAACAAGACAAGATGTATTTGCAAATAGGTTGAGGATCCATTAGTTTAACAGAAGCCATTTCCTTTATAGAACTGAAGGAAATAAAGAAATACTAAATAATATTTCCTGTTAAGGTGTCTTTGAATATTTATACTTCCTTTTTTTTACAATATAAGCATTCCTCACTTAACTATCTCTATCAGGACCAGAATCTCGGTTGTTGAGCAAATGAGAGTTAAGCAGAATGTCACATGACTGCCCACATGATTGGTTTGCTGATTGAGTGCAATCCTGGCACTCCCAGTTGTAGTTGTTAAGCAAACACACAGAGATTGTTAAGCAGATAGAGTCCCAGATAAGGAGCATAGGATGGGAGGAGAACACCCTGGGAGACTCCATTCAGGAACTGAAAATCCTCCTTACCAAAATCAAAGCAGGATTTTTAGTTCCTGAGAGAAGAGACACTTGCGTGGAGCTTGCATCGAGCCTCCTTCACCTACCTGAGCCATTCTGCTTACCTTACCACGCTGCTACTCTGCTCTGGAGCTGAAAATCCTGCTTGGATTTCAGTTCCCTCTTGTCCCAAGGGACTGGCTGAAAGAACTGCCTCCCTAAGGATGTCAGCTCTCTTCTGTACATTGAAGGGAGCTCTTACCACGGGGTGCAGATTTGAGGTCTGCTTCTGCACTCTGATGTCAGTTTTTCTTTACATGTGGAAGGGAACTTCTTCGATGGGGTGGAGGAATAGAGCTTAAATCATCAGGATCTGAGCTGTATTTCTTTATCCGATTGAAGGAGTTCAGTTTCCCTCAGCAGGCAGCAATTTTAGCCAGCCCACAGAGATAAGAAGAAGTCCTCTTGCAGGTGGCAGCAGCTGGCAACCATCCATACCAACTTCCCCACAGGCTTTCTGTGGAAGCTGTCAGACGAGATTGCAAATGGTGATCACATGATCATGGGGCATTGGCAATTGGCCAAAAGTGCAAACAGATTGCTAATCACCCAGATTACTATTACATGACATGGGAGGGGGATCACGTGACATGGGAGGGGAGCAGAAGGACATTTTACAATGGCCAGAAGGACTTTACAGGCCATAAAACACACTTTCTGAGGCCATTGTAACTTCTAACAGTCATTAAGTGACTGCTTGTAAATCAAGATCTACCTGTATGGTTTCAAGACACAATAAATGTTCATAACTCAAGTTTGATAGAATATGAAGGATGTCATAACTGAGTATAACTTTGCTTTACAAAAAACACAAAAGTTTTTAAACTACATACTATGCACTTGTTAATGCTATTTTATTGCTTTATCTTTTAATATTTTAGAATATGGCTAAGTCCTTTGTATCCAAGATTGCCTCCTGGGAGTGCTGAGTCTGATGGTGAATCTCATACAAATTTTAAGTCAGATCTAATAAGCTATCTGGTATCTTATAATTCTGCTACTCTGATGGAATGGGTTGAAATAATTAAGCAACATGATCTTTCGGAGACAAGGTATATAATTCAATGTATGCTTATATTAAACAATTTCTCACAGTTCCAATGTTCATTATAGTTATATAAAATAATGTGTTTCAATATAAGCAATTTTAAACTATAAAATTGCATTTATTGAAATAGGTTACAGGATTGAAGATGCATTTTTGTAAGCTGATTACTAAAGATAATGTCAGTATTTCTTTTGTAAACATTTTTTCTTATGTTCAGTAATTTAAGATTCTGAGTAGAAGCTTTTTGTGAAGATGGGTCTAGGTTTTTTAATAAGCAGTAATGCAGTTTGGGAAAACAACTATTTTAAAGTACACTGTATTATATGCAGTATAATTATGTATAATAATTATGTACTATGATACAATTTGGGAAAATACCAAATTTTGTGTGGTTATTTTTTATGCAGAGTATATCTTATTGGGTCAACTCCAGGTCGATACCAAGGTAATGCAAAAGAAAAATGGGGTCATCTTAAACTGAGAAAGGTACTAAATGTTTATTTGTAGAATTATGAAGACTTGGAATCTTTCCAAGTAAATTTTTGTAAATTTATTTATTTGTTTATATTTCATGTTTCTAAACTGCCCATCTAGACCGCCCATCTCCCTCAAGGAGGGAATTTGAGCGGTAAAGAAGTAATCTTATGAAGAGGTAATCTTATTACTCGTTATTGTTGAAAATTTTATTGCTAGCAGCTTTTCTAATAGATAGCCTTCAGACTTTGTTTGAAAGCTGTTAAGAGAATTCATCATACACACATAAACCCAGATTGTTTAAGTGTTAGACATTTTGGGCTCTCGAGTTACAAAAAATATACAGTTGTAAACAAAAATAAGCAGAATAACAACAAAAAGTAAAACAAAAGGGGAAAAGTATGAACCGTGTAGGCATGTCACCTATATTTCAAGTTTTAAATATATGAAAATTTCAAATTAGAATAAAGCACGTACTGTAAAATATAAATTCTGTGTCAAGCTAAATATTGCATAATTTTTTATTAATGCAAAAAGACTTTCAAAAATGGATTAATTATACATCTTAAATTCAATCTTTAATAACTGCTTTTCCAATTTTTCAAAATAATTTTCTCAGCAGTGAACAATTCCTAGAACAATCAAATTCTACATTTTTTGAACATACGTCAACATAATATTAACATCTTTCAATATCTACCTAGCTATACAAATATTGTCTTATAAATACCTAATTTATAAATCATATATATTAATGTTGCCATAATTTTTATATACATCCTTTCAAATATATTCTTCCAGAAATCCAATTAATTTGAAATGGAATCTGTTGGTGCTTAGTTCAGAAATGGACTTCATGGACTTCATCAGAAGATATAGCATCTCACTTTTCTTTGAAGCAGTTAAAGTATTTGGTCCATGTTGAGATATTAAAATATGACTGAGTTGATTATTTTGCACTGCTGTGAATTAGGGAATATAGAACTTCCATCTGAAGTTGAGAGAAATCATAAAATAATCATTACAAAGTAATTATTCTAAAATAATTGTTCAAGATTTTATCCATACATTCCAATAAAACATCTCACCATTTATTTTTAAGCTTGAATTCATTTATAATGTTAATTTTCCATGGGCATCAGAATCTGAGATACAACTGATATCAAGCTGAATAATTGCCAAGACTTTAATTGAATTAAGTAACAATTTTTGAATGAATCACTAAAAATTGACACTTTATTAAACTCTCATTCCATATAAATTTAGATGATCAGAATTGATTGATTGATTGAGAATCTGATGAACTAAAATTCCAAAGATAGTTTTAAATCCTTGTTGGCCTGCTTTCCAGAAATATTGAAAAGCTTCTGCTGGTCAGTCAACCAATAAATGTTTTTACCACACTGCATACCATCTTGAATTGTTCCAATTAGGCAATCCTGTATTGTTATTGTTAGGTAACTCAGAAGTTTATGCCAAAAAAGTGTAATTGGATTGCTGCAAAAATTGGTGGTTTCAATTCATTGTCCTTCAGTTTACAAAGGAATTAGAAACTTAGATTTTATATAGAAACTGAATGCTGGTTTTCCCACTAGTACCAGTGAATATGTTAGCCTGAGTCTGCTATCATGCTGGCTCACTAAGAGTTAAAGCTCAACATATCTGGAAGATATTCAGGAAAGTAAGATTTCAGCACAAATGTCTACAATAATTGCAGTCTGCACTGTTGGATAAAATATTGAACATATGCAACTAATTAAAGAGCAGTGTCTTCATAAATGATAATTGAATAATTGAATGTGCTAAAGTGGTAATATTTTATTGGTGCTATTTGTTTTTTCCTCAAACAGCTTCTGAAGGAACATGCAGTACAAATACCTGATCAAGATCTTTGGCCGATAATAGGACAGTTCTCAAGTATTGGATCAATGGGAATTGATCAGTCCAAATGGCTGTGTTCAGAATTTAGAGAAAGTTTGGGGAGTTTAGGAAGCAATTTGAAGACTCCTTCAAATGAAATTCCGATCCATCTGGTATTGGCTGCATAATACATATATACGTGTGGGTCTGGATATGTGTGAGAGAGTGTCTGTGTGTATTTATAGTGTTTATAAAAGTTAGAACAATGTTGGAGATGTGGTTGTTTGGATGCTACTTATTATCATATTTGGTGGTCGTGTAAAAATATAAAAGTCTTTTGGATTAAGATATGGTGGAATATTCAAAGAATTTTTAGAAAGAGGGTAAAATTTACCCCACAATTGTTTTTGTTAGGTATTGTTACTGATTGTGATGCTAAGGAAGTTATATTGATGTTAAATTTGATTACGGCCGCTAGGCTGTTAGTAGGGCAATATTGGAAGAAGGAATCTTTGCCTACCTTGCAAGAGTGGTTTTTTAAAGTTTCGTATTTGGCGGAAATGGCAAAGATTTCGGCTTTCTTAAAGGAGCAATCGCAAGAGAAATTCTTTGCGGTATGGGAAAAATGGATAAATTTTATACAATATAAATTGGATATAAAAAATATCATTTAGTTTTTTAATAACTTGTATATAAACTTTAATATTTTATAGATTGTACTTTTTTATATCTCTTTTCTTCTTTCTCTTTTCTTTTTTATTATCTCTTTTTCTTTCAAGTACTTTTTCTTTTTAATACTTATGCTTTTTTCTTACATATATTTTATTGTTAATTATTTTATAAGTTGTTTATGTAAGGTATTTAGATATATTTATGATTTATATTTTTTCAATTTTTTTAAGATTCTTAAAAATTTTAATTAAGCCTATATTCAGCTCTGGGAAGATCGGGGGGGGGATGGAGAGGGAGGGTTGGGGTGGGTGGGTGAGGGTTGTTTTTTTGTTTTTTTTTGCTTTTTGTAAAAATATCTAGAAATTTTCTATATATATATATATATATATATATATATATATATATATATATATATATATATATATATAATTTCGTTAAAAACACGAATCCTGGGTATAGTCATATTATAAAAACAAACAAACACGAACACCAGGAAGAAATTTTTAAACTAAAAGCGTTTAATCTAGTACCAAGCTTTCGTCGGCCAACTGTCGACATCATCAGGGCTTAAAACTGGCCAGTGGGAGTCTCCTTTATAGTGCTAGTCAGTTTGTGCACACGGCTCCTGGACCTCGTCATCGGTCCTACTTGATTGGACTGTGTGTTGGTTATATTCTTGATGTTGATTGATGCTACCGCTCCGTTACCTGCTTTGCTTCCTCCATTCTCCTTCTTTGTGCGTGTGTTGCACTCTATCTCCTCACTACAGGCTCCTGAGTTCGGCATACTCCTTACCCCCTTTTTTGGCCGTTCATTTTCTCCGTGTTTTCCCAGTTACTTCTCGCTCCATTGGGCCGTGCGCTGGGTATTCTCTCATCTTTCCCCCCGCTATCCTTCCCATATGTTCATGGCCATGTCCTACGCGTACATCACCTCCTATGGTCTCCACCCCCTCTTCCTCGTCTTCGATGCTCATTATGTTCGCATCGCGTTGCAGTCTCCGTTTTAATCCGTTGCCTTTGTCTAACGTGGATCGTACGCATTCCCTCTTCGGGGGGGGTATTGTTGTATTGTGTGTTTGAGCCTATACCCCTCTTTCTCGTGGCCCTATGGTTGCATATAGGGTTAGTTGGTTGGGTGGCCATTTGTTCCTCCCCCTTTTTTCTTATGTTCGTTATAAATCTATCGTTGCGATCCTCATATTGTCTGTGGTGTTCTGAGTTGTCCTCTTTTTTCAATCGCGATCGAGTTTTTATTGTGGGGCTGTCAATACACTGTCCAATTGGTTCCACTCCACTGTTTTTATATTTTGTTGTTACTGCACGTGCATGAATATCTTCGATGTCATTCGTTGGGCGACCTGGAATCTCTGATGTGAAGGCTTTTTGCCGGTGTGTTCTGACCTTTGTTCTTTCATTGGGGGGTGTTGTTATTCTTCTTGGGTGTCTTAAGGGATCTGGGGGACCTCCTGCTGTTTTAGATTTTATTCTCCCGTTTAACAGCTCTCTTGCTGTTTTGGAACGTGTGCATACCCCCAGGGAAGGGGCTTCTGTTGGTTGTTTATTAGCAACCATTGTCTGATTGTCCGTGGGTTGCAATGGCATTTTCACTTCCCCTGTGGTCCTGTCTCCTTGATCTTTGTGGCACATAGTTGGATTGTCTTTGTTGGGATGCATGATTTTGTTTATCCCATGCTCCCAATGCCTGGTGTGCCGGGCAGAGTTCTATGTGCCGGTTGATCAAATTTTTGTCGGAGAGCCAAGCCTCTTTAAGCAAGCAGCCTCCTTTGGTGGTTCACTGGATAGAGTATGCACATCATTAAAGTTGAACTGCTGGCCAAGATCAGCCATTTGCGTCCACACTTGTGAGTGCTGTTCACACCTTTTGATGGCCAGCTTGTGTTTATGTATCCGGGTTTTCAGTCTTTTGGAGGTCTCCCCAACGTAATTGCTAGGACAGTCTTTTCAGTTGATCTTATATACCACCATGGATTTTTCTGCGTTGGGGAGCTGGTCCTTGGGGCGCATGATCTTAGAGCACAGTGTCTAGTTTGGTTTATGGGCTATTTTTATGTTATGGGGGGCTAGTAGCCTAGCTGTTGCTTCGGACACATTGTTGATGTAAGGGAGGGAAATGCATGTCATCTGTGGTGGTGTCTTGTTAATCTGTAAATTCTCCCAGGGTTTGGGTGGTGCATCGTGGCGTTTGATAAACCTTACTGGATAGCCATTGCGTTTGCAGATGCGGAAAAGGTGGTTCCTTTCCTCTGCTTTTGCTTCAGCCGTGCTGCAGTGAGAGTCTTAACTGTTTGAATAATGTTCTGATGCAGTTTGCTTTATGGGCCATTCTGTCGTTGTGTGTTGATTTTCGGTATACCCTTGTATGCAGGGTTCCATCTGGTTGGCGGTTGACTAGCACATCCAGGAAAGCTAACGAGCCCTGATTCTCCTCCTCTGCTGTAAACTTAATGTCTGGGTATACCGAATTCAGTGTGTCCATAAAGTTTATTTTTGGGCATCTTTTGATAACCACGAACTATCATCCACGTAACGGACCCAAAATTTGGGTTGGTATGAAGAGCAAATAATGGCATTACAGAAATGAGCTATTTTGCCATCAAATTTTAAGAATATAGTCTGGGTCTGTTAGTTGTTCATCCTAACTGAAAATATAAATACATTGTTCATCTCCACAAAAATCTCTATTTTGCTTTTTTAAGCATTCAGATTTCAAAATGTTTGTTTAACTCAACCAGTCTTTGTCAAAGCAGGCACTGTGATTTAGTCATGATTTGAATAAACATACAAGTCTGTCCAGAAGCTAGTTTCTATATTACAGATTTTTTTTAAAAAAAAAAATTGTAACCAAATGTCAAGAAAACATAACAACAGATGAGTTTTCAGCAAACCAATAACAGTATCAAACTTGATTGGTATATACTCACGCTCTGTTACTTGGCAATATTTTGATGGTAAATTGTATAACATTCTTATTTATATCAACCTGAAACAATCATGATGCAATTGTTATAACTATTTGGTATTACATTTGCTTTTATTTGTTTAGATTTACCCAAGTGTTGAAAATGTGAGACAAAGTTTAGAAGGTTATCCAGGTAAAATATATATTCCTGCCTTTGACAATGAAGTTGTAAGGCCACATGTCAACATTAAGTAATTGACCTTTTCTTTTTCAGCTGGGGGTTCTCTTCCATATAGTATACAAACTGCACAAAAGCAGCTTTGGCTAAACTCTTATTTCCAGTAAGTAAAATGCTATCTTTATGGTTAGTGTTTTAAAATAAAGAAGTAATCAAACCTTAAAGACTAACACTTACTGTGCCTTATGTTTGTAAAATGTTTGAGAAAGATATTATTAGATTTGGCTTAGAATGTTCATCATAAAAATCCAAACAGAGATTATATAAATTTAGTTTCAGATGTACTGTAATTATTAGCCTTTTAAAAATTACTTAGTTATGTGCTAATTAAATGATTTTCTAAAAATAAAACCTAGTAGACATCTCATATTGCAAACCAACCCATAGTGGTAAAAAAGTAATTATTTTTCTCTTGTGTACAGTAGTTTTGAAAATTCCCTCTAAGTTTATGAAAAGCTGCAAGTTGAATATAATTAATCTAGCCATAGCAGGATAAAAAAATAGGTCCAGAGATCAAATGCCAAATATACACATGTCAATAAAAGTTACATTTTTTTCTTTTTCATATAAATCCCTATTGATTTCATACACATCCAATTCATGTATATTATACTCCGCAACGTTTTAGTATGGCTTTATGTGTAAAGTATGAACAGTTAAACTGAGAAAGGAAAGCTAAAAAACTTTTTATGTTCTTATTTAAGCCTGGTCTATAATTACTGGAATTGTTGTAGATTACAGCTTTGCATGTGATTGGTAAGGATATCTAAATCAGCCTTCCCCAAACTGGTTTCTATTCCATGCCGCAGGAAATTGATCCAAACTATGATTGAAACAGTATCTTGTATTTTCTATCAACTGCTGGAACATTTATTTGTATTACTTTAATACATCTATTACCTTAAATCAACCAGATTCTTCAGATATGTTATGTTTCCCATTATCCCCTGCCATCAGGAATGAATCTTTTTAATTGGGGTGGATAGAAGCTATTAACCATTATACTTTGAAGTCACCACATTAGAATATTTCAAGTAACATTCAATTTTAAAAAGGAGGAATAAAATACTTCTTACTATGGATATCACATCCCAGGAATTAGAGTCTAAAAAATGTATTGTGTGGTTTAATCTGAAAGACTCATTTCTTTTGTTTTAACCCAAGCAAATGGTCAGCTGAAACTTCAGGTCGTAGTCATGCAATGCCACATATTAAAACTTACATGAGAGTATCCTTGGATTTCCAGAAGATTGCATGGTTTCTAGTGACAAGGTAAATCTTTTACAGGTAGTGCTCGACTTATAATTGAGACTACAATTTTCATCACTGAGCAATGCAGTCATAAAGCAAGATGTCATGTAACTGCATCGCATAGCAGCCACAATACCAGCAATTCCTCTTGGCATCTGGTGTGGAGAATGTTGGGCACAGTTTAGAGAAGAGACCTGGGAAGAAGGGCTGGCATAGTCAGCAGCTGGGTACACCTCATCAGGTGAAGATCAGCTGGGAGGGGAGGGGAGAATGGGGCTTTGCACTGAGGTGGCAGGCCATGATGTGGTTACTCAGTAGAGGCTGCACTGAGACTGAAATAGAGGCTTGGAGGCAGTGGCAACTGGCTAATACAGTATCGCTGAAGGTCCCAGGCCTCTAATTCTACCCCAGCACTGCTGCCATCACCAAGAAATGCAACTGTGATGGAGGGAGTTGAAGCGCCCTTATGGTTGTAAGTGCAGGTAAACTGCCAAGCACCCAAATTTTAATCATATGACTGCTACAACAACCATAATTTCAGGCACAAGTTGTAAGTTCCTTTGTTCAGGGCTGAATAAATAGTCTTAAGTCAAGAACTCCCTGTGGTTTTTTTTTCTATTCTTTTCTCTCCAAATTTTTGTATTCTGTGCATAAAAAAAACTTTTTTCTTCTCTTTCTTGTTTCTGCCTGCTTAGTGCCAATCTTTCTAAAGCTGCTTGGGGAGCTTTTGAGAAAAATGGCACCCAGCTGATGATCCGATCATATGAACTAGGAGTTTTGTTCCTGCCTTCAGAATTTGTAAGTTCATTCTAATCCGATACTGGTTGCAGTGAATGCAAATAGAGCCAGACCCATGGATCTCAAGAATGTCAGAAATATATTTGCATAAGAAAGTAAAAAAAAAAGTATTTTTCTATGTGTAGCTCAGTTCCAAAGAAAATTATTAGTTACCCAGTATTATGTATGCTCGTTTAATGACTGTATTAAGTTGCAAAACTAAATTATACTTTAATACTAGGAAAGGAAGCTTATCTGAATCACCAATTTGTTCATTTCTCCCAGTCATTTAATCACTCTTCATCCTTTATTCAGCTGGATAATTTTTTTCTGAGAGTGACTACACTTCAATCTTAAAAATAAATTGTGGGTGCTTTGAGGGCTGCATTCAAATGTCCAGTGATGTCATTGAAGACACAAGCTTTCAGCCTTTTATTTGGGAAGACAAATGTGGATGAGGCAAAAATGACTAAATGATATGCTGCAGAAATTTGCTTGCAAATTGATTATACAACCTGGGATGCTCCAGATGTAAAAATACTCCTAGTTGCATCTTCTTGTCCAGTAGCATATACTCAATCCAGTGCTGACTCTATCCCTTCTCTCGGGAAATGTCATCAATTGGGATCATGGAAATGAATCTTTATATTTATCTTATAGAACTTTATACTTAATCCCAAGCAACAATTCAATGCTTTTGAAAGGTGTTGGTTATAATTCCCAGAATTCCTTGATACTGGCTATAATGGTAGTGAATGTTACAAGCTGTGCTTAAAGTGTCAGAAGCAAGGCAGGTTGCCTTCCTTTCTTTAATCTTTTCAGTTCCTGGATGGAATATAATATTCCATTTTTGCTTGATAGTTTTTCTTAATATGTACCTCTATTATTTGTGAGGTGTAACAGGGTCTTAATATACTATATGCAAGTACAACATTGGATATTAAATATTATCTCTTGGTTATTTATTTAGAAAAGCTTAAGACAACCACGCAGGTAAAGTAAGAAAAAAATAAAAGTCATAAAATATAGTTTTTTAAAAACCCAAATCTGGAAGAAAATCAGCTAGTAACAACTAGTCAAACATGCAGGACCCATTATTCCAGACCTCAAGAGATAAGCTTTTTTAAATACAACCAACATGGGTATCAACTGTATCTCTGTTGAGATATTTATTCTCCAAGAATTCAGTGTTTTCCTTAGTGGTATTTTAAATGTGATATACATCACCTCCAGTTGTGAAAACCACTCTATATTCATTATTTAATGGAATTAACCTACAATATGATGTAGGACAGAGATGTCAAACTTGCAATGTCATGTGACATCGCGCAACGTATCAGAACTTTTTCCCCATTGCCGGCAATGGGGTGGGCGCAGTTTCAGCGGCAGTTTGACATGCCTGATGTAGGACATTTCTTCATTTCAAATTAAGAAAGTTAAGTTGGTTTTTTTGAGGTCTTGCTTAGTTTAAAGAAAATGATTACTGAGTAATAGATTATCTGCTTTTAATTGTGGCAGTTTGATTATACATTAATTATTTGATTATAGTTGCTATTTAGACAACTTACCTAATAAGCACATGTTGGCAGCATGTTACTAACACCGCCATATTACTGTATTTGTTTTTTAATTTTGGTTGAATGCAATACTCTTTTTTTTTAGGACTTGAATACAGGGTATTTCCAAGTAAAGGAAAACATGTTGTCTAATACATCAGTATTGTCATTTCCTGTCCCTTATGATCTGCCCCCTGAGAAGTATGAAAAAAAAGGTAAGGCATTCTCTTTCTATATAATTATTTTTTCTGGATAAAAGTAAAATTAATCTTGAATGAACGTAAAAACATTTAAAATAAAGAACATGCAGTTGTTGATTACTGGGAAAAGAGAATTTAGAAAGGCTGAAACAGACAAGTAAGTAGAATTTTGCGAAGAAATTCCTTAACACATTTCTTAACTACCACGGTTCCCCAAAAATAAGACCTGGTCTTATATTTTTTTTGCCTCCGAAAGAGGAATTAGGTCTTATTTTGGGGGGTGTCTTACCTTAGAACCATCACAGCCAGGCCTCCTACACCCCGAAACCTGTTGCGCCGCTCCTTGACTTCTTCAGCAGCCGCTTCCCGCCACTTGCAGCTGGATGCTGTGTGGCACATTATGCCATTGCTGCTACTCATGACTGGATGATGATGCTTCATGCTGTGTTGCCACTTGCAGCAAGAGGCCACACGGTGCTTTGGGACATTTTTGCTGCTCGCGGCAGGATGCCACATGGTGCTTTGCGCTGTTGCTGTCGCTTGTGGCAAGAAGCCATGAAGCTCTTTGGGCCATTGCTGTCGATCGTGGCAGGAGGCTATATGGCGTCCTGCCACAAGCAATGGCATGAAGCGTCATGTGGCATCCTGCCGCAAGCAACAGCAATAGCATGAAGCGCCATGAGGCGTCCTGCCGCAAGCAGTGGAAATGGCCCATAGAGCCACATAGCATCCTATCACGAGCAGCAGAAACAGCCCGAAGCAACATGAGTTCTGCTGCAAGCAGCAGCAACAGCCTGAAGCGCTGTGCAACCTCCTGCCATGAGCGGCAGCACTGGCATGATGAGCCACAGCTTTACAAGTGTCAGGACGTGGGAGGCCTGGCTATGATGGTCCTACCGGTAAGGTAAGTGGGTACAGGGCATGTGGGGCAGCTTCACCACCCCCGCCCTAGCTTGATTTTTAGGTGTGCGCCTTGTCCCAAAACTAGGGGTTTGGGGGAGGTTTATATTAGGCCCACCCCCAAAAATCAAGCTGAAGCTTACTTTCTGGGGGGGGGGGCTTTCGGGGAAACATGGTAGATATTCCATATAACAGCTGCTTAAATTACAATTGTTACAAGATTCCATTTTCAAACCCAGGTGAACCTCAAACCTTTGCACATTATTACCTCTTTGTCAGTGTGTTGTTACAAGCTTTTTGTAATAAGGATGAAATACAATTTGAATAAATACAGAATGCTGCTTCAAGGGTTAAATTTATCAGTGTTACAATTTATTTGTGTAATTGTACTATTGAACATACTACATTTCACTTGCAAATCAACAATCATCCTATTATTGCATTCAGTGCACAAATATGTTCTTGTTATTGAACTGCAGCTCCCCCTGTGTTTAATAAACAGTAGACTTATTTTGTATTTCCTTTCAAATTAAATGGGATTTTAAAATATTATTGTGTGCAATAGAATTGATAGGCTTTAAAAGCTAACACATGGAATTAGAAGATAGGATCTTTGGATTATTTTCAAAGGCTTGAATACATGCATTTATTAGTATTCATCACATTTCTGTTTTCTAATAAGCAAAATCTAACACAGCAATTGAAGGGTTACATTAATTTATCCTACGGCAGACTTTATTATTATTCTTTATAGATATATACCTATATACAATTCAGAGTCCCCTCCAATCTCAACAGTTCTGGTAGCTTACAGTTTTAAAAATGAGAAAAGTACAAAAACACAGAGAAAAAGAAATTCCAAATATCCTGAACACAAACATGCCAATGAACAAAACAGGTGCTCAAAATATTATCCTGCCCAACCTAATGAAGCATGTACATCACTGCCTACAACACTGTATTTTGAACCAGTATAGATTCCCAGTCATCTTCAAGGACAGTGCTATGTTGAGCACATCGGTTAATCTTGATGTGACTGAAGCATAACTGTTTGAAGGGAGTCCCAGTCCAGAAAAGGATGCAACTGTAAGTCTAGATGTACCTATGCAAAGGCCCTCTTGGTCACAGCTGTCACCTGCTACCTGTTTTTGAGTATGAGCTGTGAGTCCAGATGAACCCAGACTGCATGCCACTTTTGAAGTGCAACTCCATTTAAGACCAAATATAACCAAAGAACTTTGATTCTGTACTTGCTTTTAGGGTAATTGTATATAACATTGCTCACTAAAAGATAGTTTTAAAAAGTTGGTTTTGTGTTATGAAGCAGTAAGTTTAAAAGCTAATTATATTTCAAGTAAAAGTTATTGATAAATATCTCCATACTTTCAAAGTAGCAATACTGGATTATTTAAGACTAACTGGTTGCTTAGAAAATGGCTAGACTTTAAGTAAATGGTTAGCTTTAATATAAAGAATTTTAGGAAGAGAAAATCTAATTTAATTTTTCTCAATTCATCTTCATCTGTGGTACAAGTCTGTCCTTTTCTTTTGCTTTGCAGATCGCCCATGGATTTGGAATATTCCTTACATCAAAGCTCCTGATACACATGGTAATATGTGGGTTCCTAAGTGAATAGTTTAAAGTAATTCTGAATCTTTATTCGGAGTCATTTGAATACCTGTCAGATTTTATTATTGATATCTGTACACTTGAAAATAATTGTTTGAATAAAATAAAATAAAAATAAGCTACTTTGAATTATTATTAACAGCATTTATGAAAAAATAACTGCTTTGAAGATTAGCAGTTCTAAATCTCATGATAAATCATACTTTTGAAATTACATGTATGCAGATGGTCCTTGTTTAGTGACCATAATTGGGGCTACCAACTCAGTCATTAAGCAAAGTGGTCACTAAATGAAATAGCTAATGTTCTTCATCTTTCCTTTGCTTATAGACCTGCCAAGTCATAAATATGAGAATTGATCATAAAGCTTTTTTTACTAATAGAACATTTTTCATCAATGTTGTAACTGAACGGTTACTTAAATGAGGCAATTGCTAAACAAGATCTACCTGTAAATTAGAAAATTTTGAAATGGCCATGTCAGATAGTTGTATTTTTTAGCCAGAATATCTTTAATCCTTTTGGGGAGTTTTGTGAAATTCTGAATGTGATAAAAGAGAAAGTTTACAGAAAATTGAAATAAAGTACCCAGCTGTGTTAGCAATAAAAATGAAATTATATATATTTTTTGCAAATATTAGTCTGATACTTTTGTATAATTTCTGAGGAGATGTCTTTACTTTGCCTTTATTTTCCTTCTCCAAGACTATAAATTGTTATAAGCATATAGTATAAAACATAATTTGGTGCTGTTGCAATGACATATCAAACATTTTAATTAGAAAACAAAAACTTGCTTCACTGAAAAATTTTTGAAATCATGTATATTTCATATTCCTTTAGATATTCCTATAGATTCTCAAAATTCAATATTTATTTATATAATATATTTATTGTGAGCCAAAAACATGAATTCATTGGGCAGTATTCAACAGAGAATTTTAAAAAAGCAGTAAATATATAAAGTCATAATTAAAACTATCATGAGCAGAGATGCTGATGTTATCCTGCCATAATAACCAGGATTTTCCTGGGAACTCTAGGGCTGATGGGGATTCCTACAATTGATAAGAATGTCATTGGTTATACAGATATAAAACTAATACTTTCATTTTACTTTTTTATTGCTTATAAAACTGAATTGTAGATTTCCATTCAAGGGCTGCATTTCTTAAAGAACTTAAACTTTATCATTAGAAAATATAAGTGTGTTTTCAGCCCAATTCTAACTCCTTGTTACTTACAATGATTGATTCCAAACATGCATGTTTAGCGTTGAAGCTTTAATGAATTGTATTAGACGTATTTAACCATGAAGGATTGTAGTGCACGAATAAGACATCCTCTATCTGCAGGCAAATAAAGGCATAATCAAAAGGGCTTGCATATTAAGAAATATTTTTGAAGCTACATATGTGAGGCAACAAACTAATTTTAAGAAGACTGCAACTAATTTGCTGTTAGAAATGAAAATACCATTGTGCCTTGTTCCAAAGGTGCTTTCCAAAAGGCAACTGGACTTTCTTGGTTTATTTTTTGTTTGTTTGCTTTAAAAAAAACCATTTCTTATCCAAAAAGTTTCATCAGTTCCTCAAAAGTGAAGAAGCTTCTTGGCTCAGAAGCAAAATGTTTTTTTAAAAAAACAACCCAAAAAAAGTCCAGTTGCTTTTTGGAAAATCACCTTTGTGACAATAATGATCTGGATGACTTGAAAATCTCCACAGACAAAAAGTCCCTTTATATATCATACATTATACATCATAATCCTATTTGAAGGCTTTACTATTTTCTTGATATAGCAAACGTGCATGTCACCTACACTATTTTCATTTTATACTCAATTAACTACAGTATAACCAGAATGTAGAAGACACAGTGATGTCTGTGGAGATTTTCAAGTCATCAGATCATGATTGTCGCAAAGGTGATTTTCCAAAAAGCAACTGGACTTTTTTTGGGTTGTTGTTTTTTTAAAAAAACATTTTGCTTCTGAGCCAAGAAGCTTCTTCACTTTTGAGCAGTGGTTCTTAACCTTTCTAATGCCGCGACCCCATAATACAGTTCCCCATGTTGTGGTGACCCCCCAACCACTTATACATCACCGGGTGCCAGGGGCGTGGCCAAAGAAGAGGGGGAAAAATGGCGGACAGCCTTATTTGGTGACCCCCGTGAAATGGTCGTTTGACCCCAAATGGGGTCCCGACCCACAGGTTGAGAACCACTGCTTTTGAGGAACTGACGAAACTTTTTGGATGAGAAACAAAATGTTTTTTTTTAAAGCAAACAAGCAAAAAAAATAAATAAATAAACCAAGAAAGTCCAGTTGCCTTTTGGAAAGCACCTTTGGAACAAGGCACAATGGTATTTTCATTTCTAACAGCAAATTAGTTGCAGTCTTCTTAAAATTAGTTTGTTGCCCCACATATGTAGCTTCAAAAATATTTCTTAATATGCAAGCCCTTTTGATTATGCTTTTATTTGCCTGCAGATAGAGGATGTCTTGTTCGTGCACTACAATCCATCATGGTTAAATATGTCTGATACAAAGCATCAACTAATCCTTGATTTTTTTATTTTCCATAGGGAGTACAAAATGGGTAAGTGCTAGTACCCCACGCTATGTGCTATGTATCATCCAATAGACAATAGTATGTATTGTCTATTGGATGTATATATATAAAACAATGCAGAATAAAAAACCTTGAAAGTTTTGTTACAAGGTCAGAATACCTGAATAAGATTGATTAGCATTTGATCATGTCCATAAAGTTGGTGTCAACTTTAAGCAAACACACAGATTTTCTCCATCATGATCTGTTCCTAACTTGGTATATTTTAATATTCATATGTTTGTGAATTAGGGAGAAAGGCCAATAACGGAGCAAGAAACATTCAATTCACTGGGATTACTCATGAATACATTATACAATTGATTCAAGATGTTCAGCTATATTAGTGCTTTGAGAAAAAAAGCAGTACTGTGTTTTTTTAAGGTGCCGCATGGCATACTGCTGCTTTTATATCATTGAACTTTATGGTAAATATTGATCAAATTTTGGAGATTCAGTGAATCATCAGGTATCACAGGTGGCATTTTTTAAAAAAAAAATTGTTTCCATAACAACCTGAATGTGAAAATGTTCAAGCTTAATGTGTTTACTAAAGCAGTTAAAACAAATCATTTAGAATAAGAGTGTATGGAGCTTACAAATGCTTTGATGTACTCTGAGAGAAAAAAACATAAAATGTTCCCATTATATTTCAATAAATATGTTTTGGGAAAAGTCATTATAGGAAAAACCATTCAAGTAGCAAATAACAAACTGTACATGTTAGGGATTATAATATTATAAATGTACTTTATATGTGTATATTATTTTTTTGTTTCTGCCTTTCCTGTTTTTATATGTAATAACTGATGTTTGAGATGTTTGATACTGGTGAAAGTTGAACACTAAATGTATAAATCATTGTGTTATGTAAAAATGGGTAGGGCTTCAGTCTTTAGGAGCTGAGTTGGTGAGAATAGGATCTGAATCCCTAATCACAGCAATCTAAGCCAGAAGTCATCAAACATTCAGGCTCTTAGTCTCTTACTTGTTCATCTGAATTTTCATTACGAATAGTCACAGAGACATTAGTGTCTGCATCAAGGACAGAGATAGCAATGAAGAAGGCAGAAGGAACAATTGTCACAGCCTCCTACTCCCATTCTTTTTGCTTTAGTAATAGCCATGAATAACTATTTGAAGACAATCCTGATAATTCTCCAGAGGAAGAGGACTTGATGAGATGGCAACTTTTCAACTTTTTATCTACCTTCTCTATAGCAAAAGAGATGGTGATCAAATAATCAAGAATGGGAGTTTGAATATTTTGTGAGTTATTTCTCTCATAATGCCCAAAGCTGAGCAAAAGAAAGGAATTAGAATCACCCAAGGTCAGAAACAGAAGACCCAAACTAGCTATTCAGATGCTTCTGGGTAGATAACACTCCTCCCTTTTTAGTCTAATGTGCTCCAGTTACATGGCAAAGAAATGGAAGTGAGATTGTTTTCATCTGTTCTTCAGTCATCAAAATCAAAAAGAATTTGACAGCATAAAGCAGGGGTGTCATGACGTATTGTGACTTTTTTTGCCTTTGCGGGGTTGGGGTGAGCATAGCGTGTGCAGGCTGCATCCAGCCTGTGGGTCGCATGTTTGACATGCCTGGCATAAAGCACTATGCATACATTATGCACACATATTCTAAATCCCAGTTGCCAGGTGTAATGGACAGAAAGAATGATTTGAGAAACAGGAGGAAGAGCTGCAACCAAGGCAAGTCAGATAAATGAGTCCAGGCCAGAATTATATCCTGAGTAAGTTATCTCAGACAACACCTCTCCAGTTCTCATGAAGACAAAGGGAGAGAGGGAGAAGTGCATTCATTGCAAGGTTCTGTTATTATACAACCTTATAATAAAAGTATTAGCATGCATGACTTTGGTTTCCTAGTGTGGTCTACCTTGAAGAAGACTGATATCAGGATCCATTAATCTACTATTGGAGTCAATCCTCTCTGTCAAAGGCTTGCTGGGCTTGATTCTGACACATTCAGGCCCAAAAGAAATTGGTGAGCTATAATTATATAGTGGGAACAACCAGAGAAAGTCAGCCAGTTTCCAAAAGGCAACCAGAACTACTGTGGAACAAGAAACAAGAAGGCAGCTGCTTTGTTCAGTTTTTTTTTTTCAACGAAACTGGAAATAAAATGATAAATCACTGTTTCTTGCAGATCAATCCATTCTAAATTCGGTAAAATTCGAGACTAAAACAAGGAGACATCTATCACGCTCCCTCTTTTGGTTCCTTGCAAAGATAAAAGGTAAAATAAAAAAGATAAAGATAAAGCATGCCTACCACCTCTGCAGAGATTACTCTCCACAAACAGGGCTGTTCGTTTCTGAACAATAACGGTTATCTATTTGACAGCGCGGGCGTCAAAACGGGACCTTGGGGATTCATTTCATGTGCTTGTAGCCTACATGCCTTAGGCAGCGCCACTTTCAGATTCTCTCGCCCAGTTTCCCTAGAACGACAGCCCGATCAACCACAATATTCCAGTAAATTCGAATCCGGACTTCCGAAATTCTTCTCCCGCCAAGGGCCACAGCCATGCTCGCCGCAAGTCTCTCACGTGCTTCCTTGAAACAGCTTGTGGAGGCGGAGGCCCGCTACAGGAAGCAAAGGACCCGCGCTTTGACTGCCTTCGACAGGTTTGGGAAGAAATCAGGAGCGTTTTAACGCCCTGCCCAGTCTCAATTTTCCCGTGGGTTGCCCGAAGAGTCCGGAGGAAAAACGGCCACTCGCGGACCGTATTGATTTCCTGGCGAGGAGTCGTCGCACTGCACATGGAAAAGGGTGTTTTTAACCGCTTGGCATTCGGGGAGCTGAAATCCTGACCCGGCGCCCGGCAATTGTGAGGTCTGACTGACGGAATTGATTCAAACCCAGCCTGCCACGTGCGTCCTAGGAGAACATCGAGGAGCACGAGTTTGGTCAACAGGTGGACGACTCGGAGATCCAGCGAGGGAAGCTGCTCGGCGCGCTCCTAAGGGATATACTGCGGGGACAGACTGACTATCTTCTGTGGGACTTGGCCGAAGGGGTGCAGCATTGCGGTCCGCGCCTTGCCCTCTTGCCGCTTCCGAGCCTGGAGACTACTTCACAGGGCGCACCGCACGCCCTTCGGGAGCTGCGGAACCCTGGCTCGAGGGGGCGCGAGGAGAATGAGCCGTTGAGGGGAGCTCGATAAAGCTCGGGCGCCTGGCTGGCAGAGAGGGATGGCTTGTCGCGGTCTCTGCTGCTGTCCTTCGTCCAGCTTTGGCACCCTCACCGAAGACACCTCCCGGTTCCTTCTCCTGGCCGTTCTGATTGTTCTCTACATGGGTTGCGGAGCTGCCATCTTCTCCCTTATAGAGCGGCCCTCTGAGCTGGAAGCCCTTCAGAAGTGGCAGATGAAGATTGAAAACTTCTCCCAGAAGTACAACCTGGCTTTGGCGGATCTGAGGAATTTTCTGTTTGAGTACGAGTCCGCCTACCGGATCGGTATCCGGGTAAACATAACGCGGCCCCAATGGGACTTAACGGGAGCCTTTTATTTTGTAGGCACCGTGGTTTCTACTGTAGGTAAGTGGGGAAACTGTCAAAATACTAATGCACTTCATCTGGCTTACACTATTTGGCTCTTGTACTTGTACTTGTACAACTCAGAAAATAACTACCATTCACAAGAGAAGGGCAAAGCATGAATATGTTTCCATGATCAACATCAGTGCTGGAAGGTAAAGCTTGTATGGCTTGTATATTTGTATATGTAGTTTGTGAAATGGCTTAGAATGTGCTTCTCAAAATCACAAGGTATTTACCGGATTTGGGGGGGGGGGTAATCTCTCAGAAAAGCATGACAGATTTCTTTCCATAGGACATATTTGTGTGAACTTCACTGTGGAAAGCCAAATTTATTCCTCACAGTACTGAGAAGGAAAAGTTACTTTTCCTTCACTCTTCTCTCTCTAGTTTGCTGTATTTTCAATTTTATAACATGTCTTTAAGAATTTCTGAACAAGTTATACTCTTGTTTCTGTTAACACGCATTGGAAGTCAGATTTATTGAAAGTTCATACTGGCTTTTGTGCACTTTAATCTTGCATGTTCTTGAATATCTCAGTTTCTCATCCTTCTAAACAGCAACACAATTAGCAATGTTCTTTCTCACATAGACATGAGTTAAATTCCCAAAGGAATCACTCTTATCAAAGAATTATCTCAGCAAATGCTCATTTCCTTCCATAGAATCATTTTAAAACATTTTTTCATGACAAATCATCACAAAAGAATGAGCACTGACGTTATCTGAACTGATGAGTCTTTATAATAACTACATTTAGCAGGTGTAATTGGCTATTAAGATGTCCCAATTGTACAGTTGTTTTCTTTTGACACTGATTGGGTGAATTAATATGTAGTAGGCTTTTCGGTTGTTTTTGCTCCCTTCAAGGCAGTTTTGACTGCAGTTTTATTAGTGAGGTTTTACAAGTGGTTCCTCATTGCTTTCTTTGTAGGACTGAAAGAGGGACCAGCCCCAGGTAACTCACGTCAATGCTTTCTTTGTAGGTCTGAGAGAGGGTAACCCACCTGAGTTTGTGCCTAAGGCAGAACTAAAATTGATAGGTCTCCCCATTTCTAGCATGGTGCTTTAACAATTGGCTCTCTTGTATGTAATGTAGATTTCATGTTATATCTTAAATTATTTACAGTGCTGAAGGGATGCTGCTAAACTATTGGGTTGCTTTCAACTACAAAAACAACAATTTATGCTTTTGGGGGACATTGATATAGCATGTGGATATAAAAATATAAAATCCTATTGATCAAAATACAGACTCCATTTTGTAATTAGATAGAATAATTGCCCAGAGCTTATGTTTAATAGGTGACAGTGTATGCAGTGCACCTGTTTATGACAGCAGTCAGCTGTAATTTTTTTTCAATATATTCCAATTAGTTTTTGCCCCCATTAACAGAGCATCTTCAGTATTAATTGGTTAGATTAGGTTTCTCTCCTTCTACTTTTACTTTTGGGGAAAACCTTTGGGATTTTTATATCTCTGTGCAATTTTATTTTAGCTACAATTGATCAAGAATTATACAAAGAATGACTATGATTAATTTGAACCTTGAAATTAGAGATGGAGTTGTCACTTCCTTACTGTAATTGGAAGCTTTCCGTATGGGTCTGTAGTTGCCTTCTAGAATCACTTGTTCCACTACGTTTCTATTTTTCCTTTTCCAGCCACATCATCCAAACCTTCATAGTGTAGCTATATCATTCCAGAGCATAAGAAACTTATTGAGGAAAAAAGAGCCAGCCAAAGTGATGTTTTCCCAGGTTGGCATTTCTCATGGATCTCAGGGACTCCTCATCCTTCTTGGATGCACTTTTGTGTGCAGACATTAAGATCTCATGCAGATGTTTGCCTGTTACAAATTAAATTGTGCCCACAGTTTATTTGAAATTTCAGGTAAAAATCCTGGAGGAGGCACACGAAATAATATACCAGTACTTAATTCTTACAATCGATGTATTTCCTAGCACTTAAATTAATAAACAAGGGAATATCAAACTTATTTTTTATCCAGCTGCTCCACTTTCAGTTACTTTCCCTATCATTTATTCAGTTACCCTCTGTCTTTTTCATGATTCTGCCTAATACATAGATAGCACAAAACCAGAATAAATATGAAATTGAAATAGTGCCAGGACAACTTCCTAAGGCTCCACATGTCATCCATTTGAAGTTTGATTCAGAGCCTAGAGTAATCAATTGGATCAATATACTATATTCATTCAAAATAGTAAAAACAGGAATAATTGCAGCATTTTGAACTTCGCTATTTACTGCCTTGTGCTGTGCCATAAATTTCATTGGGGGAGAAAAACATGTGTTGGTTCATAATAGGCTCTGTTGAAAATCTTAGCAGTTAAAAGGAATGCTGTTTGATGTAAATGTAACTGGCCAGGCTGGATCCTGGCTTACTCAGACAATTATTCCCAAGCCAACATGCTGAATAGGACAGTGTTATTTTTAACTCATCTTTTAATATGATTAATTTTAAAAACTAAAGTTTGAAGGCAAAAGCTAAACCAGATTTCTTATATTTTAGTCTTTATCTTTGAGAATTCCAAGCAATAAACCACTGCTAAAAATTCTTGGTTTTGAAGTCCATAATGTAGAGAATCCCAAGATCAGGGAAGGCTGATTATAGAAATATGTTGCTGGGTTGAAAGAGAACTTGTATGAGATCTTTTTTCTTTCTTTCTTTTCTTTCTTTTCTTTTGTGGAGATACATATGTAGATTACATTCTTGGGTAAAAAGTCACCAAGGGTAATTTATTTAAGATAGGAAGTCACATAATTTTTCTGAATAAGTAAATAAAATTAAAAATATCTTGCCTGTCACCAAGACCTATCATAATATGTCTTATCCTATAGAAAAAAAAGTTGTGATATAAATCCCTTGAATGAATATGGAAGAAAAGAAAAGCATAATTTCTTATTTCAAGAAAATCTCCTTCAGGTTGTAGTGAATACAGATACAGTAGTCCTCATTTAGCAACTGCCATATTTAGTAACCATTTGCAATTACAATTTGAAGGTTAGGGATCATGTCTGTACCTCCTCTGTCACAAGAAATACTAAAATCCTATTCTTGTATATTCTTATAATCTAAATGTAGTATCTATAATAACCAATATATAATACCTCTCATATATGTGAATAAAAAGTAAAGACATTAGATTTCATAATTCCTACAAAGAGGCTATAGATATTGTTACAGGTACTTTTACTTTGATTTTAAAATGGCACTTTTGTTGCGTAATATGAATAGTCACAACTATTCTGACCTGAGTGAAAATTAGCTAGCTTGTTTTGAATGTTAGATACATTACTGGCCACTTCCGGTGGATTTTGCGTGCGTGATGGCGGCTACTTTGTAGCCGTCCTCCTGGGTAAGTGTAAGAACCGCTATGAACAGCAGATATCAGCTGTTCAGCGGTTCAAAATCCCCCTCCCGGGCAAAGGGGGGGGGTAGAGAGTGTCTGAATAGTGGTAGAGCCTCTTTCGCACCCCCCAAGTTTTTTTTTGGGGGGGGTGAAAGGAGTGCTCCCACGGAGTTCAGACTTGTCTCCGCTTCCCAGCTGTTTTTGTCCTCAGGGACAAAACGAGCCGCCGCAAACACCTCCGTGCTTAAAGAGAACTGGTGAGTTTTTTTTTTTTAAATGGACAGAGCTGAGTAGAGGATTTAGTTTTTGCTTTCTTTGACTTATTTGGATTTTAAGTTTTAAGATTTGTTTCTATTTTTATTCTCTCTTTTTATTTTTTTTCTTTGTTGAAAGGGAAAGTAAAATGGCGATCGGCAAACTCCTCGGTGTTTTTTTTTCTGGAAGTTAGAATGCTGACCGGCAGGCTTTTTGGTGTTTTTCTTTCTTTCCTTTCCCTTTCTCTTTTTATTTCCTTATGATTGGAATGGTTGTTTTTGGTATCTCTAAGTATTTTTTTTGGAACGGACTTTTTTTATTTAATTATTTTTTTTTTTTCTTCTCCCTTTTTTTTTCCTTTGAACTCCCTTTTTTTTTTATTGTAATGACCCTTTTTTGAAGGACTTTTTTTCTGTTTAATTTTTTGTAATTTTTAAGAAGGAGTAAAACTTTTTTTTAATTCTTTTTCTCTTCCTTTTTTTCCCTTTTTTCTTTTTATTATAATGACCTTCTTTGGAGGGAGTTATATTTTTGAAGGAATTTTTATAATTGCTTAAGAAGGACTAAAGGTTTTTCTTTAAGATGGCTCCAAAGCGTCCAGGGATTTCTACAGTTTCTAAATCAACAGTTTCACCCTCTTCTGGGGGTCAGCTAATAACTATGAAGGACTTGCAAGACATGATGGGAGATGTTATAATTCAAATTAGGGCAGAAATGAAAAAGATTTTAGAGGAAAACAATAAGATCTTGAGACAAGATTTTGTTTTGGCTTTAGAAGGTGTTGCTTCTGTTCTTGAAAAGGTGAACTCCCATGTGGAAGAGGTAGCTGAAAAAGTGGACATAATGGAGGGGAAAATTGAAAGTATGGAAAAAGAAATGGAAAATGAGATTCTTATGCTTCAATATGGACAAATGGAATATGCCTTAAGAATTAGAGGCCTGGGAGAGTCTTTGCAAGGAGATCTGAAGGAGATGGTTGCAAAGGACTTTGCATTGATTTTGAATAAAGAAAAAGAGGGAATACTTAATGAAATTGAAAAATTATTTAGGGTTAACTCTGTGGTGGCAGCACAGAAGAATCTGCCAAGAGATGTGGTAATTTACTTTGGTAAAAGATCTTTACGCAATGAAATTGTGCAAGCCTATTATAAGAAGAGATTTCAAATTGCTTCACAAGATGTTATAATTTTTAAAGAGATCCCATCTAAAATTTTAAGAAGAAGAAAGGAGTTTGCTTTTTTAGCAAATGAACTTAAAAAGAGAAAAATTTCATTCAGATGGGATGTTCCGATTGGAATGGTGGTGAATTACCTGGGGACATGTTATAGACTTAATACTGTTTCTCAAGCAAAAGATTTTTATACTT